TTTAGCCAACTAGGAATGGAAGGTCCAAAGGATTGGGGAAAATAGGACAACTCATTTTTGCTGCTACCGAACAACAGAAATAAATCCACTCTTTAGGAAAAAGCCACTTAGCCCTTGCTGAGAGAACAAGCTACATTTATTCTGTCATCAGATTCAGTTAAACAGTAGCCTCCAGTTGCTATACAACTAATCTACTAGAAGTAACAGGTGACCACCAAAACCAAAATTAATGATTTTAACAAACAATCAATTATATGCTGCAATAGATTATTTTATGGACAAAGTTCTGGATAGAAAACTAAAGAGATGTGATTGGCTAAGATCTACAGTGATTAGCTCCTAGCAGGTTGGACAGATTAATGATAACAAGGATAGATATGGCAAAGAATAAAAAGAAAAAAACAGAAACAGAGGAGATAAGGGAAAGACTCCAGATAAACTCACTGAACCACCTACTGCATCTCCTATCTAGCTATAAACTCCAGAAATACCAAACCTAAATCTGACTCAAGATATCAAAAAATTTGTATTACTTGCCCATAGATAAACAACAAACTAATTGAATAAAAAGGTAATCATATTACCATCTAAAACTCATTTATATTTGAACATGTCTTATGCCTGCACCAACAAAGTAAATCCTTGAAGGACTCTCTTAAGCAAATAGTCAACCATCTGTACCTCGATTCCAAATAGTCTAAACCAATATCTATCACCCTCTTTCCAAAGTACTGAAGGAATCTTAGAATAACAACTAAAATAACTATGAAGTTCAACTAAAGTTTCCCAAGAAAAGAAAAAACTAATTCTAGGCAAAAACCAGCCTTCATTGCATTATGGTAAATACAGATCTTAATAATTATTGCTGCTATAAAAAAAAGGGATTCTTTTGGCTAAATGTCTAAGAAAGGTAAAAGATTATATATTGAAAAATAAATAAGTGAACTTTGGAGGGAAAATCTTGATGAAACGTAGAGATGTAGATGCTTCACTCAATTTAACCATCTATCCAAATGCGGGGAAAGGACAAGCACTAAAACCAAACATGACTTTTTGTTTCTGCCTATCACATGTTGACAACTCTCATAAGAAATAAAAAGAAATTATGCATAATATTTGTTCGGATATTGGGCTGTAATGCATTAGAAATTCTTTATTTCGCTCAGTAGTTCTCTTTCTTGCTATGATATCAATAGCCTTAGCAGGCTTGCAGCTGGGGATCATAAAGCAACTTTTTCACAACAATTTCTCATCTGATCAAGGATTTATTGCAAAAGCTAACTATTTAAATGTGCTCCAGGCCATGCACCCCACCCTACAAAAGAATAAAATGCATTTGATACAGTTTAACATCTCTTTATGATACTGTTGACCATGGCATAATTAAATAATTTATTTTATTTAAGAAGCAAATCCAGCAACAGTAACACAAATTTGCTATTTCAAAAGGATGAAGACTATACATATTTGTCGATCACAGAAAATAAAAATAAAAATATTACAGAGTATAATCATAAGTACTAACAATTGTATCTTTCCCAGAAAAAATACAGGAGATATGTAACTGAGAGAGAGCTATATGTCATATTGTGTCTAGAAGTGTGAAAAAAAAGCCCCTCTAGTTAATCTAACCTATATACTAAAGCAGGCAGGCAGATGATCCCTGAAACATGTTTCTATAAGTGTTGCATGTATGCATATGACACAAATTTTGTAAGGTAAATCTTATTTTGTTTTTGATTGACAGCTGCAGTTTTCTCCCTCCAACCAGGACAAACATGGTAGAGTAAGTGTAGTTGGTTGATTCTCTTAGGACTTCCCTGTGGCAAGTGGAGAATAGAGACTAAATTTCTGGAGGACATGAAAGTGCAGAGGGTTCTAAATAGATGGTGAAGATAGAATCACCAGTTCATTAGCATAAAATGCATGTCAAGCTAGTACAAAATTTTTTGTCACCTCACTAATATATAATGGATGAAATAGAAGAAGGTTACAAGTGGAGAGAAAGATGACAGACTAGTCTCCGGGTTACTATGTAAATCACCTTAAAATAAGGATGAAAGTTGTTGCATCCTGCAGAAAAGGAATTTTTCTTTGATTCAGAAGCTAACGGTTGCAAAAGATACTTGAGATTAACTATCAGAAACATATGGATCAGGAATACAAATATGAGATATATGGATCGAAAGATATGGCACTTGGAAAATTGAGCAATTTGGGGAAGGATGGGTATATGCAAAGGACAGCTCCAGAATATATAATAAAAATATATTTTTTATAATTTCATTATGAATATATATTTTTAGTTAGCAGCAACTCATAACGAGTGATCAGTGAGTACATACAACCACTCATTCTATAATGCAGATAATTCTCCTTGATGTCTTTATATCTCTTTTAAAGGGTTTCCAATTGCACATTCAGGGAAGTCAGCTTGACACCTCCTGAGAATCTATTTATGCCATTTATGACTTGTTAATGCACAATATCACAATATGGAGATTTTATTTACTGGAATTTGTAATTCTCACAGAAATAAGTTTATGTTCTGTGGACAATTAGGCATTTCCCTTTTGGAGTATCTTAAATCAGTATTCCTTTGGTTTTACAGAATAAATAATAAAAAACCACAATTTTTTTTCCTGCAAATATCAAATTTAGCTCTTCTGTCTAGGGAACTTTTAAATTGTTCACTCTGATCATTAGCTATTCCTAGATCATAACTTAATTAGTATGAAATAATCACTGGTCTTCAGCACTGCTAGTCAGACCCAAGCCTCAAGTTAATTGACTGGAATATAGAATGAAATAGGACATGAGCTTTCTATCAGGAATGTGTCTCCATTGACCATAACCAGGATTAGCAGACACACAGCAGGTCGATCAAGAGACTTATGAACTAGCAGCAATTATTACCAGTTCATGGACGTTAGAGAATTTCACATGCGTTTAGCTAACAAGCAACCAAAATTTATATCCACATCAAATCATTTCTCCAGAAGGAACAATAATCATTCACTAATTTAAGGCCAAGAATCCAATGCCAAAAAAGTGATACCAGGAGCAAATCACTTGTCGACAAGGTGACCTGATCTCATCAACAATGCTAAAGAAGTACCACGTAGCACAACACGAACCCACCACGAAAAAAACAATAACAAAAAGTTTGCACAGCACACGATGAACGATGAATAGTCGACGGGATGTACAGTAAAGGCATGTTCAACAGTTCATCAATTGCTGTTCGGGGATGAGAAAAGGAAAGAAAATAACAACATAAATCGAATGAATTCGAATCAGGCTGAAAAAAATGGAAGGCATAAACACACCATTCCGATAAATAAATTAAGTGAAGATATGGAGGGATTAGTCAGGAAGGAATATCTCAAGGCAGAAAAGTAAAAAGGGGCCGACCTTCCATGCGAGGGAGAAGCCGAGGCGGACGGCGAGGGCGTGGCTGCCGAACCAGCAGAGGAAGCAGAGGATGGCGGCGAGGGAGCCGGCCTTCTTGTCCATGAACAGGTAGAAGAGGGCATAGACGAGAGCGCCGACGAAGGCGAAGTTGAAGGGCAGCGTCAGGGCGTCGCCTCCTCCCGGTAGAGGAAGATGAAGATGGAGATGGAAGAAGGGCGGGGTGAATTGGAAGATGAGGAGGGAGGTGTAGAAGATGGGCCAGACGAAGAGCATGTGGATGAGGACGTTGACGGGGTTGCTGTGGTACGCCCCGTAGAAGGCGAAGTGTCGCTCCAAATCAAATAAACCCCCCTTCCCCATCTCTCCCTCGATCTCTCCTATCCTTCTCGATCGATCCCTATCTAATACCGATTGATTCTTTCTCGGCGCCAATCTTTAGCAGCAGCAGCAGCCAACAAGAAGAGGGTGAGAGAGAAGAGGGGGCGGAAAGCTTTTAACAGGAGGAAGGATGAAAGCCGTTCTGCAACTTGCTTGGGGGTTAAGCCTACGTTGACCGCGTCCGTAAGAATACCTTAATTACATACCCCGATTGGGGATGTCTTTCCCACCCGGGCGGGCCCACGAACTCGTAATTACTCACCTGTTCCGGCCGAGGCAGGGAACAGACGAGTCCCGTTTCCCTCAGAACTGGGCCCCCATTTATTTGTAGGTGGAGCCCCCCGGAAATCGAGAACGACAAGTGTGCTTCGTGTCCTCGGGAACACACGTAATTTGTTCCTTGGACAAAAGTAGATGATCCGTTACGCCCAGCCCCCACGAGACAGGTGTTGAACAAAAGTTCGTCCAGAGAAAGCGTCCCACGGTGTCGCTATCGAGTTGGGACCACCGACGAACGACTCCGATGAGCCTTCCAAGTCTAATTCCGTAAACGTCTTAACATGTCATCTCCTTCCAACTTTTTTCTCATCCCAATAGATAAGAATGAACAAGTCCAAGTCCAACATGGCGACTATTATCCAATAGAATTGATATATATATATATATATATAGCAAATAAATAGTTATTTAATATTATTTTGGCTTCTCGCGAAGCATCAACTTGCCCGCTCAGTCTACCTGCGTGGAATTGACGACTGGGAAAATGATAGATGCAAAGCTTCTTTTTCTTTGCTTCTGGAAGCCGTGCAACCTTGTCAACGCCTTCACCTGCTCCATGGCCGAGCAGTTTGGGCCACCGGAGACTAAATGCCATATATCAAATAATGTATTCATCAATCGAGGCAAGATAGGAAGAAAAATGACAACCTCTTATATTGTTGAATGGTTCGATATTAATATCTATTAAACGATTTTAGTTCCTCTTGAACGTTTTTTTTTCTACGTCACTGTCAAACTCTAATTTTTATTTAGTATTTGATGTAATAATCAAATACTTTACAACTAAAGACCTTCATGTGATGATGATTACCTGTTCTTTATACTCTCCCATCATTATTAATCCGATGTACCAAATACTTTCCGGTTCTCTATCATCAACCTGCCCACCAATGTCACAACTCAGTAGGAAGCAGCAGACTGCAAACTCCACAACACAGCTTGCCAATCCCTAACATATCCTGATCTTTCGAGACAAGCAGATACAAGTCAAGAGATGATAACGACAACGGAGCTACTGAAACTACCTGGATGCTTCGACTTAATCGACAGATCATGCGATGTCTCTCTTCTCTCAGCAGACACTACTACTGATGAATGAACATTTTCACCTGGAAGTTTCTGCAACTCAGAATTCCATTGCATTGCTCATGCTATTTAAACCACCAGCAACCGCCATTGTCCATCTGCCTCGGTACAAGTGGTCCCTTGACATCTCATTTGCTTAGCATAGTTAGAACCAGAAGAACTTTCCTGTTCAAGAAGGAAGAAGAATGTCACCTGCTGCTGTGTCTCTCGCTGCCACCCACCTTCCCATCTGCAACTCCCTGGATGTTGCCAGAAAGTGCCACATTAAATCATCTGTGAGGAGAGAGAACCTGAACCAGAGAATGGTTTCGGATGCCGATTTTCGAAGAAGAAAGCTGCTCCAATCTGTGGGGCTGGGCCTCGTTGGAGCAGGGCTATCTGTAGCTAAGCCGGCAACGGCTCGGCCAGAGAGTCCTCAAGAGTCTGCATCCAGCAGGATGTCTTACTCACGATTCTTGGAGTACCTGAACGAAGGAGCAGTGAAGAAGGTGGATCTATTTGAGAATGGGACGGTCGCCATTGCTGAGATATCTAACCCAGCCTTGAAAAAGATCCAGAGAGTCAAAGTGCAGCTTCCCGGATTGCCCCCGGAGCTTCTCAGGAAACTCAAAGAGAAGGATGTAGATTTTGCAGCGCATCCTGTGGAACCCAATGTGGGACTTGCAATCCTCGACTTGTTGGGAAATCTGGTCTTCCCCTTGCTGTTACTGGGAACTTTGTTCCTTAGATCTTCATCACCGAATACTCCAGGAAGCCCCAACTTGCCTTTTGGACTGGGAAGGTAATCAGTTATCATAGAGAAATAAATAATTCAACACAAAACATAATTCTTGTTGAGCTCAAGTAAAATCTTTGATAGCAATGTAGGAACTTAGGCTTACTGGTTCAGAAGAAGGTACGCACACAAAGCATTGATGCTTATGAACTCTGTGCAGGTCAAAAGCCGAGTTTCAGATGGAACCCAACACAGGAATCACCTTTGATGATGTAGCTGGAGTCGATGAAGCAAAGCAGGATTTCAAGGAGATTGTTGAATTCCTGAAATCCCCAGAGAAGTTTGCTGCTGTCGGAGCAAGAATTCCAAAGGGTGTGCTCCTTGTTGGTCCACACAGGGACTGGCAAAACCTTGCTGGCTAAAGCGATTGCAGGAGAGGCAGGGGTTCCTTTCTTTTCTCTGTCAGGTTCAGAATTCATTGAGATGTTTGTCGGAGTGGGGGCTTCGAGAGTGCGGGATCTGTTTAACAAGGCAAAGATGAACTCTCCATGCCTGGTATTTATTGATGAGATTGATGCAGTAGGAAGGCAGAGGGGAACAGGAATTGGAGGAGGAAATGATGAAAGAGAACAGACACTGAATCAGCTACTCACTGAAATGGATGGTTTTAGTGGTGATAGTGGAGTTATTGTAATTGCTGCTACTAACAGACCAGAAGTTCTTGATTCAGCTTTGCTCAGACCAGGAAGATTTGATCGACAGGTAACAAAATTGTTTCCACACTGTTATTAGACAAGGCCACAAGATTTAGCAATGGTATCATAATACAGTGAACATACGATTACAGTCAAATGTAAGGCGTGAAAGCAGATATAGTTTGTCAGTTTCAGCAGGTGTAACAAAACTGTGCAATCTACCTTACGAGAGAGAGACTATTATTTACTCTTACTTTGCCTTGCAGGTAACTGTTGGATTGCCTGACATCAGAGGAAGGGAAGAAATACTAAAAGTGCATAGCAGCAATAAGAAGCTCGACAAAGATATATCCTTGAGTGTTATTGCAATGAGAACACCAGGATTCAGTGGTGCAGACCTGGCAAACTTGATGAATGAAGCAGCAATTCTTGCTGGAAGGCGAGGAAAAACTAGAATAACAGCAAAAGAGATTGATGATTCAATCGATCACATTGTGGCTGGCTTGGAAGGAACCAAGATGACAGATGGGAAAAGCAAGATACTGGTGGCTTACCACGAGATTGGACATGCCATTTGCGCGTAAGTATAACTTTTCTCTCTTTATAATTGCAATTCTTGTAATTTGTTTGCCACCGTGCATGAAAGTGTTTCATCTTCAATGTCCGTATGTATCAACATCTGTGAACTTGGGTACTGCAGTGAATGCAAGAAACAGATTGTTAAGATGACTGTTCTAGTTTCTGCATGGACATAACTGATATAATAATCATGACAAAGTAGACACAGCATGAAAGAATTAATGCGAAATGTAGATCGTACCAGAAAAGTTATCCATATACATGGACCAAATTACTAGGACTTCAAGCAGAGGAAACCAGATGTAGAAACCTGTACATTTGTTCTCTTTTATTTCCATAATGTAGTTTTTACCATTGACAAACCGAAAAAGGAACATAACAGTTAAGAGGCATTACTGTCAATCACATAGAATATTCAGATCTTGCATTTGATCAGAAATATATAGAATTTTCTATTTTCTTGCTCTCATAAATATAGGAATATATCTTGTACATGGTGCAAAATCTCACAAATTTGTTAACATTTAGTTACAAGCTAGTTGGAAGTCAAATTGAGTGATGCATTTTGAAAGTGAAGGGAAAAGAGTTTGAGACATCATACATGAGCTTACATAAATTATACTGATCAATTGGTTAACAAAAGAGCTTCCTTGAACAAAGAGAACTTCTCAAGTATCTGAAACATTGAGATTTGAGTCATCTTTGAATATGATAAGATAGGAAAACATTGTGATCCAAAGCATCAAATAGCCAGGCATCATTAAGCTGTCAGATGTAAAGCACAAGGTTAAGAATCATAATGTCATGGGCTGGTCATGAGGCATCAGATTTAGCTATTTTTATTCCATGGACACGCATGTCCATGTCTGCAAGTCCCATCAAATATATACCCATGTGTTCATGAGTCAAACACTTGCCAAACTCTTAAACTATGCTATTCGAATATTGAACAATGTTAACAATGTAACAATTGAATGTTTTCATGATTTTAAGAATTTTTATGAAGTTCACCCCCCAATACTTCACATTTTCAGTACATTAGGAGACATAAGCATAATTCTTATGCCTCAAATTCTTAGGTGTTCTTTTATCAACATATTTCTCCTCGATATCAATCGATCTCAAATTCTTATGATTGTATCAATTCAACACTCTTAATTAACTGGATCCCAAATTGCAGGACACTCACCCCTGGACATGATCCAGTGCAAAAAGTAACTCTTATTCCTCGAGGTCAAGCTAAAGGCCTTACTTGGTTCCTCCCTGGAGAAGACCCAAGTCTTATTTCGAAGCAGCAGATCTTTGCTAGAATAGTTGGAGGTTTAGGTGGCAGAGCAGCAGAGGAAGTAATATTTGGTGAATCAGAAGTAACCACTGGTGCAGCTGGAGACTTGCAGCAGATAACACAGATAGCAAAACAGGTATACTCTTTTATTTAACATAGACTTGTAAAAGAAAATCTATTCATTTCATATTTTCAAGCTAAAATAAATTCAGAGCTGACATACAATTATCATTGTTACCTTTTGATCCTTTTGATTCTAATCAGATGGTCACCATGTTTGGAATGTCTGAGATTGGGCCATGGGCATTGGTGGATCCAGCAGTGCAAAGTGGTGATGTGGTTCTGAGAATGCTAGCTAGGAATTCCATGTCTGAAAAGCTTGCAGAAGACATTGACAAGTCGGTAAAAGATATCATTGACAAAGCCTATGAAATAGCAAAGAAACACATTAGGAACAATCGAGTGGCCATGGACCACTTGGTTGACGTACTGCTAGAAAAAGAGACTCTCACAGGTGATGAATTCAGAGCAATTTTATCCGAGTTCATCGATATTGCACAACAAAGAGATGAGACAAGAGCTGCTACAGAACCGGTTGTTGCTTGAGGTGTCCAGTTAGTTCATGTAAAAGTTCCCAGTGACATGACTTGATATGCTGCCTAATGAAAAATGCTAGGCAGTCAATTGGTGATGCATGTATAAGTTTTCGGTTAATGTGTATATATAATAAAATCTATACAAGCTTTATGGAACAATCAAAATTTTGAGGAGTCTGTAGCCATGACTATCCACTAGATTATAATCTCCATTAGGGGAAAAATGCAAAGTGTGCACACAGGTTAGTATGCATATGGTTTTAAAGGACAATGGTATACAGATCATAGAATACTGGTATAACACTGTACCAACCATACCAATCAGCAACGACATATCAAACAATCTTAGTATTTTTCTTATTGACATAATCCATAGCATCCCATTCAGTATCACCCAACAAGATTTTGTATGGGTTCTGGAATTGGAAAAAATATGAAAATGTAGATCTTCAACAACTAACCCATGCAAAAAAAACCTTTTAAGCAAAGACCAACCACAAAACATTATCAGAGCATCAATAAATGTGAAAATAAAAAATATCGTTATCATCATTGTTGCTCTATTTCTGCTGCCTTCAACATCTATTTCAGGAAAACTCTCTCCGGAATTTTGCAAAATATGTTAATAAGAAAGTTGCCAAGTAAAACAGTAGATTGTATCAAGACAGGTCAATGACACCTTCTTTCTTCACGCAAAAAGTACTGATCTCAGGCTTTACATTTGTTCATATCTTTCAAATATTCAAGCATATCTGTGCAATGTAAAACCTCGACCAGGAAGTTTACTTCATTGATCGGAGGAAAACGTAGGTGAAGCTTAGAATATAAATGAACATTTTCAGCAGAAGAACTCATGCAATCCATAAGCCATACTTGCCTTGTACTCATCAAACATATAGACCAATTCTGAGCATGAGAGGTATGATGTTTATTCGTGCAGCAGGATAGCACAACATTCCATGCTACATTGTCTCGCTCAAGCTTTCTTATTATTTTTCTTCTTTATATACACATAAGAATTCTCACTTCCTCTGAATACCTATCTTGCAAGATCCTTCCATGCACTTCTCCAGAAGATCTAGAGATTCGAAGGCAAGACTTGAGGACAGATGAAAGGGGTAGAATGATCCCCGCTTCAATTCATAGAAGGGGAACATCAAAGCTGCCATAGGAGTAATTTCATCGTAGATGCAATTCAGTCAAAGATGTTGGGTTTTGGGATCTGCTGAAGGTGTGATGCAGTCTATGTACGTGAATCCATAAGCAGCTTATAAGGTCACCAAAAGTAAAAGTGTTTTGAGAGACTCTACAGTTTGATGCAGTTAAAAGTTTTCCTCCAAAACTAGGTTGTATGTTGCTAAAAGCTCCATTTTGGTATTCAGTTGATGTTTTACATAAATCTGTGTTCCTCATGCTTGGCTAAGTTCCAGAAGAACAAAATCCCTTCTTTTGGAAATACTAAGATCAAATCCTTCTTTAAAAAATCAAAAAAATGCTTTTCCCAATCTAAAAGGATGAAACGCCACCTTGAACCAAACTATTTAATTGGTTAAAACCATCTATGTATTTAGATAACTACTGAATAACCCAGTAAATAAATCTCCTCATCTATCCAAACCAAAGGAAGGTTTATCAGTTTCTCACCTTCAACTGCCCTATTCTTCTTAAGCTACTGATGAAAAGAGCAATTAGAGACCTGAAATATGTACCTAGCGAGAGTTGCATTGAAGAGGCAACTTGGCTCAAAATGGATTGATTGTTGGGGATGCATCTTGTACTAATTTTGATGAGCTAACTTGAAAATAATCAACATGGACTCAAAATTCCTAGTGAATGCAAAACTTTGGTGCCATAATTTACATAACACCATTCTACAATTCAATCAAGTTGTGAGTCTCTTATGTGCCTATTGCAACTCTCTATCAGTGAAAAAATCTCATGTGAAGAGGGATGTGATGTGTCCCCTGAAACAAATATATGAACTTTGTTGTGCATCTCAATCCAACTGTAACCAGGCTGCTTCACCACCCTGTTCTTATCCATGGTTTTCCTTATCTCAGTGGCATTATCCCATTTCCCTTCATCTACATGCATGTTATGCAACAATACATACGGAGCAGAGCTTTCAGGTTCAATCTCCACCAAGGCCTCTGCAGCAACCTGAGCCAATGCCACATTGTTGTGAACTCTACAAGCACCTAGCAATGCTCCCCATACGGCTTTATCGGGTTTAACTGTCATGCTGCTTATCACCTCCCTTGCATCCTTGAGATGCCCATGCCGGCCTATAAGGTCTACTAGGGAAGCATAATGCTCAACTTTAGGTGCAATTCTGAATTCATTAACCATGGAATCAAATTCTCTCCTACCTTCAGCCACTAGCCCGGCATGGCCACATGCATTGAGGATGGCGATAAAGGTTATGTAAGTTGGCCTAATACACCTCCGTTTCATTTCTTCAAAGAGCTCAAGAGCTCCTCTGGCTTGCCCATGCTGTGCATATCCACCAATCATTGCATTCCAAGTGACAACGTTCCTTTGACTTCCCATGCCATCGAAGATGGCTTTGGCATCCATCAACTTGCCGCAGCGAGAATACATAGTGATGAGGGCATTGTTTATTGGAATGTCTGGTATGATCGTCTTGGTGATCAGCTGATGCACTTTAGTCCCTAGAAGAAGCTTTGCATGACCAGCACAAGCACTGAGCACCGAAGACAGAGTATGCCGGTCCGGTCTCTCACCGGCAACTAGCATGTTAGCAAACAAGTCGATTGCTCCATCATAGTCTCCATTCTGCTCATATCCAGCGATCATTGCGTTCCAAGAGACGATGCTCTTTCGGGGCATTTCGTCGAAGATTCTCCTTGCTCGTTCCACCTGGCCTTTCTGAGTGAATCCACATATCATTGAGTTGCATGTCCATGAGTCAGTATTGGGCATTTCCTGGAAAAGAGCTTCAGCCTCGTCCATTGCTGAGGCTTGTGTATAGGCGGCAATCATGGTATTCCATGTTACCAAGTCTTTCTCAGGCATCTCATTGAAGAGTGCCCTGGCTGCGAGAATATCACTGGCCTTGACGTAGCACATGATCATAGAATTCCATGATACAACATTCCGTTCGAAGCTTCTCACTTTACGATGCATTTTCTTTGCATCTACCTCTGCATCTTGATACGGACCATGAGGAATCAAGTCGAACAATCTCTTTGCTTCCTCGACCTTTCCCTGCTGGGCATAACCAGCGATCAAGGTGTTGTACGCATCAATAGCCCCATCAATCACCTTGGCTTTTCGTCTTTTTCCAAGCAGAAATTCCTCCGCCTCTTCCAGCCTGTTATTGTGGATGAGGCCTGACACCAGTGCGTTCAAGGAAGCAGCATCATGGATAGGCATCCTGTCGAACAGCTCGACAGCCCTTTGAACATCACCAACACCAAGATATCCGGTCATCACGGTGTTCCAGGACACGACGTTCGCATCGGGCATTCTGCCAAAGAGTTGCATGGCTTCCTCCATCCTGCCATTCCGTGCGTAGCCAGTGATCATGGTGTTCCACGAGATAATATCTCTGGTCGGCATGCGTTCGAAGAGGCGGCAGGCCTCCTCGAGCTCTCCAGGGTCCCTCGATAGTGCGTAGCCCGCGAGTATGGAGTTCCAGGAGACAACGTCCCTCTGTGGCATTTCGTCAAACAACTTCCGGGCCTCGACAAGCTCGCGGTGGCGAACGTAGCCGCCGATCATGCAATTCCAGGAGACGACACTGCGGCGGTCGAGGAGGGCGTCAAAGAACCGGCGCGCTTCGCGGAGGCGGCCGCTTCGTATCAGCTGGGATAGGGCCTGATTCCGCCGGCGGACTTCGAGGGGAGGGTCAGCGCCAGCACGAGAACGAGCGGCGGGGATCGCACGACTACGCCCGATCGGCGGAGCCAACCTTCTCATCTCATCTCACCTCTTCCAACGCGAATGGTTATCATGTATTCGACATATTTCCTGCGCGCGTGTGCGGTGTTTTGCCCCTTCCGTTACCAATCAAAAGTTAGATAGATTTCTCGACACATTGCATCCGTTGTGTCAATATATATATAAATATATATATATATAAAAGATTTATAAATACAAATCTGTCATATAATGTCTGTGAAAAAGGTCAGCTATCATCATTTCACTTCAAGAATAAAAATAAAATTTATTACTTAATGTCTATATTAATCATAAATTATGTGATGCTAGTATCAATAAAATAGAAACACTAGAAGTATATTTTATGCTAAATTTATTATCATATAGATAAAATTTTATTTTAAGTAAATAGGGCACTCTTAATCAAATGCAAAATAAACTTAATGGATGATAAACTACTTGACTCTCTCAAGCAGGTAGGGTTACCCTTAGGAATACTATTTTGGGTGTTACTCATTGTTGTGGGAAACAACTTTGAGCCGTGGCCTCGGGGCCGACGCAGCTCGGTTCGGGTCCGGATGACGGGGATCTTCCTAGGGTGTTCCTCGAGCCCGCTGAGGCGGTCGTCCGGAGGGGACCTTCGGCTTCGCACCTGCACAAAGGTCGGGCCGAGGCGCTCGGCCCAACCCCTCCGACGATCAAGTTAGCTGATATGGAGGGGGTTTCAAATAAAAAAGAGTTTTTGTGTGTCTGTCCCCCCCTTTCTAATGAACGAGAGGGTATTTATAGGGAAGCATACTGCTTCCTGAGCTGCCCGCTTGCAGGAGGCAGGCTGGTAGCATCTGACTTTGTGTTGGCGTGGCGTGAAGAATTGAGCTTTGGCAGGATGTTAATGTGCCTCGGTCGGCGTTCCGGTCTGCATTGACCAGGTGCTGTTGCGTGAGGCGTCATCTGACGTCAGTCGAGTCTTATCATAATTACTATCCTCATTACTCATATTCACTATTTAAAAAATATAAAATTAATTTTCTAATAAAAAATATATAACCAAAGATGTTTGCCTATTGTTTCTTGGGAGAATGTTACTCACCCTAGAAAAGAAGGGAGTTTAAGGATTATGATTTACATTTATTTAAATTTACTTTCTAACCAAAAAGAATTAGTTTCTTTATTAATAATGATATAAATATTTGGGTTAAAGTGGTGAATGCTAAATATGATAAGAGTCAATCTAATATTAGCTGGGCTTGGAGGCTGTTTTAGAAAACCCATAAACTCCCTTAAATAAGGTTTCTATTAAATAGGCAAAATATAGATGTTTTCAATAGTACTTAGCTTTTTTATATTCCTTTGGTTATAAAACCCACATTTTTTAATGTTAATTATTATTCTAGTGATTGTTATGTTAATTATTAATAAAATAAGTAAAATGTTTGGAAGTATTATGTGTGAAAAAATATATAAGCTTAACATATATATATATATATATATATATATATATAGTATCTTATTCAATCATCAATAGATTTCCTATACGACATACTGCAATGATGCTATGAGATAGCTTAACCTTTCACCAGTCAAAACAAATTTTCTCTTATAAGGCTGATCACACCTTACAGCCTCTTCATAGTTTGTGATAGATCTCTCTCAAAGACGTGTAAGTACCTGTGACTGCCATCACGCACCCCATCATCAGAATACAGAAAATAATCACCAGCTCCACCACATGAATGCAGTGGGGTTTGAAGATCTTGAGGTAGCAGAGACATGGGAGCAAAATGGAGACAACCACACCCAGCAATGATCCAATGAATGCCATGAGGTATCCAAAGAACGGAATCGCTAAAGCTACGGTAACCATGCTGAGCATTAGGAGTGTTCTCGTAAGGCACGGTTCCAAGCTTTTGTGGTATTCTGCCAATCTTTCTTCAATGGCGTTTGCGATGGGTGTAACCATCAGTGCATATTTCGTGAGAGGATTCACCACGGTCGTGTATATCGCAATCTTTGAGCTTATGTTTCCGATGGGGAGATTCAACGTCACTTGGGATTTCAGGTTGTCGCCATACATGAGGTATCCAATGATCGCCATTGATCCGTAATTGATAGTGCAGAGAACAAAGCAGACGATCAGTACCTGCAAACGATAAGGGGAATTAAGACAAACTAGAATACATAAATCAACGAGTGATTTGCTGCAAATCACTGACCTTAGAGAATTTGGTGGAGTCTTTCATCGAGGTGCATAAGGTGGGGAACACTGCATGACCACAGTAGCAGAAGGCATACAAACCTAACGCAGTTGGCAATCCACTCAAGTTCACAAGTCTGCCCCTTTCATGGAAGCCAACCTCGACCGTGGCAGCTGAAAGCACAGAGCAAACCATGATGACGGAAACCAGCACTCCGCCGGCAGAAACATAAGCGAGCAGCCCCATACTCCGCATCCATGTGGTCGGCAGGACGACGAGCGCGGCGAGGATGACGAACAGCTGCTTCGCTGCTATGTTAAGCATTGCGATCCGGATACTGGCGCCGGGGAACAGGTTTTCTAAGTTGTCCCCTTGCAGTATAAGGAATCCGATAGCGACGAGGTAGAGCTCGAGGTACATGAAGACGGAGACGGCTACCCTTCCCTTGTGGCCAAATGCAAACTCCCCGATGTCTGGGTAGGTTTTGATGTCTGGGCTCCTCTGCATGCAGCGCTGCAGGAGTAGTCCGGTGTAGCAGCAGATGGCTGCCAGCATGAAGAGAACGACGAGGCTCAACCATCCGCCACTCGAGAGCGCATACGGAATCGATACTATCCCAACGCCTGCGAAACAAAGACCACCATGAATCGGGAATCTGTTTCTGTGATGCTTTCGTAGAGAGTCACCAATATTTCATGAATCGTGTGACAAAAATGAGAACGTAGAACGAAATGTGCAACTACGATCAAAGAACACAAATTACACTATGAAGATGGCAATTCAAGACTATAATTGTAGTCACAATAGGTTATATTTCACACAAAATGAACATCCCACAAAATTACAGGTTCCTCATATTCCTAACAATTAGAATTTGAGAGAAGAAAATTCAAAATGAATTTAGAGATATTTTTAGAATTTTCAATACTAATTTAGATAGATATGAATAATTTTGTGAGGATCGTGTGATTATTAACATAGGAATGTCACCTTATTCATCTCATTTTTAGTCGTATGGTGAATCAAACACTGTTCATGAGTGCTTCAAACCTCATGGGGAAAGAGATTGGTACTAAGTTTAATTGGATTTTTCCAAAAGATAGGGATGAAATTACCTGTAAGATAATAGAATAAACAGAAACAAAAAATATAAAGAAGAACTCCATGGCTTCGCTACAAAATACTGATCAAAAGATGGAAGAAATCCATGAACAGAAACGGCGTCAGGAAGAGGAGGAGTCACCTGATAAGGCATTGAGTCCATTGAAACAAGTCCTGACAAAGGTAGCACCAGCCTGCGGAGACTCTTGCCGCTGCTTCCTGTACTGGATCTCATGCCCGTATGGGCGGAGGAGCGGCACGGTGACGCCAGGGCCACCCTCGTCACCGACGACAGACACGGCATGAGTTCCGGCCTCCGGATCTGATATTGATGGTTTCACAGCCATCCTCTTGTTCTCGCTGAAACAGACAGAACTGGTTATGGATCAATAAACAAAGAGAGAGACGAAGGACGTGATCTCAACCACTTGCACCAGCGACGCAAGCGGCAGCGGCGGCGTCTCGGGAACAAAGAGTTTGGTGTGGACTTGACCTCCGTTGATGGGAGGAGTTATTGATTAGTCAGCACAATCCGATTAGCTGTAGGCTCTATCTGGATATGTATGTGTGTGTGTGTGTGTGTGTGTGGTTTTTTCTGGTTTATTCTTCTTCTTTATGGGTTGTTTAAGACAAAGTTACAAACTCTTGGAGAAATATCATCAGACAAGAATGTCATGCAGATTCCAGTTAAATCAAAGGGTCTATCAAAAGCATCGCCTCTTATCCTTCCTTCATTGGAGTAGGATGCTAACATATGAGCACCATGATCCAAGGTGCATCTAACCCGATAGATCCATGGTCCCCGCATGCCCCTCCCCTCTCTGCTAGCTATCACCATGAAGCTTGGAGTCCGTCGTCTCCCTCGTGAGCAGACTACTTTATTTGATGGGACCAAAAGCAGCCAAATCAAAGGCGATGATCTATGCCTGTTCTCCTCGTTATATGGCAGAGAGTCGTCCTGCTATTTGAACTCTTGCAGGCATCCGTGGCTGTCATGTTTTGGAGTTCTTGGCCTTTGGCGGACAACGAATCTCTTCGCTGATGGATCTCTGGGCTTTTGTGGAAGCTTCATTATGTCAGCGTTACTTTTAATAATGAACATTGGCTTCCATTTTATAGCTTTAATTTGCTACTGAGAGTTGCTCGTGGGTGCCTAAAGTATCGCTCTCTCTCTCTCTCTCTCTCTCTCTCTCTATTCTTTTGGTCAGGTTGAAGTTTATAGAACATTTTGAATTTTTTTGGGAACATAAATGTGGCAAATTTTTGCCGTTTAGGAGTCTTCAGTTTGCCGGAATCAAAAGTATAAAAGACATAACATCTACTGTGCTCCTCAATCGACATGGTGTTGGTGTCGATTGAATTATGAAGTCACACAAATCAACTTCTCACAAGAAGTGAGCTCACTTTATCTGTGTGGTTAGTTTGATTTAAAAAATAAAAAATAAAAGTATTGTTAGCACCGAAAGGTCTTTCGAAATTAAACCTGAAATTAAAAAAAAATAAAATATTTTTAAATTTAATTTTGTTAATAATTAAAAAAAATAAAAAAAGGGAAATAACTATCGGCTAAATCCATAATGAATGGAGAGATTACAAATCAAGATTTAGATAATAGAGAACGAAGAACCTAAAGAGAGACTATGGATATCGAAAAAAATATTTGATGAGATTACGAGTCGCATCATTCTTCCAGCTTGGCATCCTCAAAGGTGATAAAATTGTGAGATGGATTTGATACAATCGAATTGGATAGTAGAAGAAAAAAAGGCTTAAATCAGATTTATCATAGCCGAAGACAATATTAGCCCAAAAGAGAGGTGGGAGCTATCGAAGGAATACCATAGGAGAGAAAAGAAAAACCTGAAACAAGGGATAAAGAGAAAGACGAATTATCGAGGAAGGAGATGTTCAATGGAATAGGTAAAAAGAAGATAATTGGAGACTTATAAATCTAAAGGGATTAGGTCATAATGGACATAAATATGAGGGAGAATGATAAATAATAGGTAGAGGAATCATCATGAGCTAAGAAGACGAGATCCCGATGGGCAGAAAGGATTGAAACGAGCGAAATGAGGTGAGCAAAGAGTATAATAGGGTTTTTACATATCATATTTGTATCGATTATAATTTCATTATAATACAATGATGATACAAAGAGAGCCCAACATAACACGAATAAAATACTAAGAGAAAAAAAAAAGTAAACAAGAAGAGAGAGAGAGAGAAGGATCCCTACCTGATATTTAGTTGTTGGTAATCACCCATCATCTCTTCTCCTTCTTCTGCGACATTGGCACCATGGAATGACCTCTTTAAATAAAAGAGGGAGGAGATCTTAACCTTAGGTTTTATTTATTATGTAAAATTATAAGATTATCGTGAACAATAAAAAAAATAAAGGTATAAAATAAGAAGAAATGCAAAGATTTGATCCCATTGGATGATCTTACGATCATTAACTATGTCAATGTGTATCATGATGTACAAAGTCAATTATTAATTGTGTCAATGTGTATCATGATATATAAAGCCAATTATGAACAATGTCAATGTGTATCATGATATATAAAGTCAATTATTAACAGTGTCAAATGTGTATCATGATATATAAAGTCAATTATTAGTGCTATTTTTTGATATGGATGGTTAATGTTATACAATTCAAGTTTTATTCATAGAAACGTAAATAAGATGATGACTTATAGCTTGAGTCAATTTTGGCCGTCTTAAATAGATAGACCCATAGAGGAAAATGAACTTATTTAAACCACAAGTTTTGTAGGATTATGTTATCAACTTATTAAAAAAGAAAAAAAAAAAAAGATCCTTTTTCAGTCAACAAAAAGAAAAAGAAAAGAACATCAAACCAATAGCTTGTAGCCCACTCCAAGGAAGGCTAGCATGCCTACCACTTTGAAATGGCCCGTGATCCAATAGATTTGTGGGCCCTCTTCACCTTTAGCATTCCGTCAACACCAAGTTGCAACAACATTTTTCACTCTTTAATTTTGATATATCTTATAATTTTTTATATTGAGAATTATGTATATGACTGGAATAACCAGCAAAAATATATGAGAGATCTTTGAATCTTAAAGAATTATCCACATGTTTCATGTTTTTTAAATAAGATTCATTTTCTTCCATCCTCATGTCTTTTTTTTTTCTCTTTTTAAGAATCAAACAAAAACGATAAACATGTTTTTTTTTGTTTTATTGTTCTTTGACTTTTTTTACTGTCAACCCTTTCTTTGCAAAGTCCTAAGATCAAATTCACCACCTCAAGGAAAGGAGTCAGCTTCAGACTCGGTGCAGAATATAGACTCCGACTGCTGCTTGCTTACTCAAACTGTTGCTGCCAAACGTAGGATCGAAGAATGCTATCGCCAGGGTTGACAACGCAAGTTCATGTTTTTGTCGATCCAAGAATCTTTCTGTCCACTTCATTTAATAGTCTTTTTCTAGTTTCTCGTGACAGCGTACGGAGGCAGCATTCCTTTCCCGTGGAGATAAGGAATCGAATTGTATTATGTGATGCCTGCTGTCGTTCACAGAGACATCAAGGACGTTCTGGAACTCCGCATCAACGCCTGGTGAGCATGAAGCTATTCCTAGCCAACAATTCCCAAACCAACCGTATGGTAGGCATCAAGGACTCGTAGTAGGGCCACCACCCCGCCACCTTCACCACCGCCACTACCACCACCACCACCACCATCGTATCATGGGGAAGAGCGACTAATTCCACACCAAATTATATGCATGCGCTGGGTGCTGTATGATCTCTCTGGAGAAAGGGGTAGGTCTTTTTCTGATGGAGAAGAAGACACTTCATGTGGTCTCTGATCTATAAAAGATGGGAATTCTCACGCACTTTTCCCAGTTTGGCGGTGATAGTGCATCTCTGCGTGCCTATCTTCGCCATGTGCCAGTGGCCTCCACTGTGGAAGAGTACTCCCCGCAGCCATTGGTCATCATGTTTTAGTTTCAGCTCAGTTAGTGGTGAGGACCAAACGCATGCTACATCTCCTCCTCCTCCTCCTCCTCCTCCTCTTCCTCCTGTAGTTACTCCACTATGTAAGACCCAATTCAACTATGGCGCATGAAATAGAGACAAGCACACTCGATTGCTTCCAAGTATTTTTGGTCGACGACGAGCAGCCTGTCCAAAAGGCAACCTCAGTGTCATTATTTTCTGAGAACCCCACCTGAAAATTATGTTTCTGGATGGTAATTTGGAGTGAACAACCTCCGCATTTAGCTGCAACTTATTTCACTGTCAATCTATTTCCTTACTTCACATTCATAATTTTAAGGTTTGTTTCTACTATTTTTTTTATATGCGAATCAATTCTACTACGTTTTAGTGACGAGTACTACGAAGAATATTATTAAAAAAAATGGTCGATGATATGTTATAATGATTTCAAATCATAAAAATTATGATGCCATATTATCATGATTCTATCAATAACGAGGATCATGATGTTTTCTATCAATATTTTATATTCATTATTGATTGAAAAAATCATATAATTATCATATTTTGTAATCGCTTGTTGTGTATATAAACTCATATACACTATCAATAAAAAAAAATCAAGTAAATCATTTTTTTCAATGGGTTTAAGAAATATTAGAATCTCATTTCTTGTGCCTTTTATTTCCTACTTGAGTAGACTAAGATCCATAATATCTTTATCCTAAGAAATCTTAAGGAAGATAGAGTTTTAGATTGATCTCTCTTTGTAATGTTAAGGTCTTAGTCACCTCCACAATATGATTTCATGATTTTCAAGAAAAAAATTCCACACATCATAATCAAAATCTATCATGGAGAAACTTTTATCATCAAAGTTATATCTCTTGCTAATTTACCCCCACAGTTCATCAGTGAGAATTTTGAATGCATTTCTTGGCCCTACTTTGCTTCTATCAATGCTCAACCCAACCTGCAAAAGAGAAGTTAGTCGAGAGATGCCCTCATTATCCCCATATCTATACATCTTAATGCCATATAAATATGTTGATGAGATTTTACTGCATAATCTTCAAAGGTTATGAAAGTCTCTCTAACGATAAATACCACAAGAGAAACAAAAAGATTGATATGTTCTTTCTTTGAAATTAATGTAGGGACATTCTCATTTAAATTCTTTAAGACTTCGGAGTCTTCCTGTAGCTGCTGCCTATGATAATATCATCCAACAAAATAATTGCCACAGATCTCTTCTTTCATAAGCTGGCAAGTCTATATCGATGACTCAGTTCTAAGTTCTTCGTCAATTCACACCGTCTTGTGACAATGATGCCTGCACAAAATCACTTGGATCACCTCAGTGGGTTTTCATCCCTTGACGCTAAAACCCTACCCATAATTCAGTTGTCTTCTAGTATGCATGAACTTAGACAAGGTTTTTTTTCCTTTTCTTTTAATATTCCTTAAGCTTGGAAACCAAACCCAAACTCCTCGATTAGCTTCTTCGATGTATATACAAATGTGATTGATCCTCTATCAAGTACTCAAATTACGTATTTAAATCAACTATTCAAATCCGTAAATGATCCTTAGATCAAATGTGGTGTGACCACCTTCTGATTTCTTCCAAGAAAAAGAAGAAATATATCACACATATCGATCATGTTACTGTTTTCATATACATCGATAGTGGAGCAGATGGTGCACCCAACTGTGCTCGCATGTCAGATTCTTTCTTCAATAATGTGGCTTTTCAATGGTGGGGGTTGGTCCAAGTAACATGCATTGTCCCCTTTGCCTAAAGTTGACTCGATGGCAATCAGTCAATTCTCTCATAAATCAACTCCTAAAAAGGACATAGCAATCTTATACAAAAATCTTCTCAATTAGTTGGCATCCTCATCTAATGTTTGATCTCAACTTCGAGATCAGGGATTCATTAAACCTCCAAATGTCTTCCACTTCTCTAGTGTCCACTTTTGTGATTGTCTAAGACATTGGAGGAGAGAAAATAATAGCAAGTCAATTCATTTGTCACACTAATGAGACACCGAAAGACTTGCGGTTGATGTTCGACCAAAGTATAATAATATATCTATCATTTTAGCGTGGATCATTCCACAATTTAGCATCATTGCAACTTCACTACCTGTCGAGTATTGCTGTTCGAAGGTCTGCTTGATGTTTTGATAAGACCAAAAGTAGCAATCGATACGTGATAAGAAAGCACAATTGTTTGAATGCTTAGTTTGATGACTCCTTGAATTGTTCCTACTAATTGCATTATCCTAAACTCGTTTTAGGTAAGATTTCTTTTCATTAAAAGTTCAATATATATATTCATAAATATACACATTAAAAGTCAAAACTGTACTTGGTTTTAGCTGATAGATTTATACTTTTGGAAGAAAATGTTGACGGATGAAAGTACATAGATATTAGATATAATGATAATAATGTACTGTGGAGCTAAAATTTCTTGAGTTGCAAGTGCAGGTCCTTCATGATTGATGTTTTGACGTTCGTTGGAAGGTATATTATTATGATCAAGCTACTTGAAAGATGCACCACCGATTAAGGTGGCGATTACTGTATTCTGTAGCTTTTCCGACTAAACGAGTTCTATACCTCCCCGACACTGGGAAAAGAGAAGAGAATATAACTGTGCAGGAGTCTTCCATACGTTCTCCAAATTACCATGATTTATAAAAGTCACAGCAACACTAGTGGAAGATATCATTCATCTGTCACTTGTAAATGTTCGTATTATATTGTATGCTCTGAATCTTTTCTTCCTTCGTTTTTTCCGCAGCGTCTATATGACTTCCTTCTTCATACGAATCCACAGAGATCATCGCCTTTGTCCCCGACATGAGTCAACAGAGGAACAGTTAAGTCCACTGCTAGTGCAGTCGCTATACCTAATTAATTACCCTTCCAAGAGAGTGTTGGAATCCACAAAAGCCCAGATGTTGCCTGCCCCAGCTCGAGTTTCTCCCACCAATCGAGGTAGAGATGTCCTGTAATCCGAAACTCCATTTCTTTCCTTGGCACTATAAACCGTGGCTTCATAGTCTTAGTGCGTCTCGCCCTCAGAGAGAGAAAAGATGAGGTCGGCAGTAGCTGAGTGACCCAACTGATATCTTTCACGTCTTTCATATGGATGGCTGAGCTTAGGCATGTTCTGCGCCAAGAAGCCACCTGTGTAGGGACAGCTTTTGGTCATTGGTAAATTGGAAACCCGGCTGACCGCAGATGCCACAGCCTTCTTTTCCAGGACATGCCATCATCAACCACTGCAGCTCCCTCTATAAATAGCAGCATGTGGAGAGCGCTAAGACACCATACTCGAGGAGTTCATTGGAGCTTGGAAAAATGGCTTCCTCCACAAGGCCTAATAGCTCCAATGAAATCCATGACATCGATGTAGTTACAGCTCAGAACTCCTACATCTCTCCGACTCTTCTTCACCAGAAGAGCCTTAAAGAAGTCTTCCCACCCTTTCTTGCAAGAAAGGTGCTGTGTCGATCGACTACTGCTAATCCACATATATCTTGCTTGGGCTTTTTCTGATCTATGCTGTTCGTTTCATGTTCACGAGACGACTCACTTGTTCATGGCTGTGGATGGCATGCACTTCAGGTTGTAGCTGAGACGATCGCTACCTTTTTACTGGTATTCGCCACCTGCGGCTCCGCCGCGTTGAGCAAGAGCAACCCAGGCCTGGTCTCGCAGCTCGGGGCATCAGTCGCCGGAGGACTGATCGTGACGGTGATGATTTACGCCGTGGGGCACATCTCGGGCGCCCACATGAACCCTGCCGTCACGTTGGCCTTCGCCGTCGCCAGGCATTTTCCATGGATTCAGGTGAGATTGCTTTTTCCGCGCATCGAGCTCTTGCAAGGCATCATCTTTTGCTCTTCTTCTAAGATGATGTTATGCTGCAAGGCAGCTCATCATATAAACAAACCGATACACTGGTTTTTTGTTCTTACCATTTTCTTCCTTTCCATCGATACTCCGAGCTTTTTTCGTAGTACAACCAATCAGCTTTTTTCATAAATATGAGTTCCATCGAATCGTCCTGGATCTCTAAATGAGACGAATCTTCTATGTTAATACATCAAACATTTGATCCGCTCGATGATTACGTGATGATAAGATTCTTCCAGTTCACAAGTGGATCGAAGAGAGAGGCAATCTTTCTTCCAACTTCTGTTGATATGATACCTTTTGCATCTAATAAACAATCGCCTTTTGCATGACTCTATATCCATGTTGTCAGAAGAATAATTCAACAATAATTGAGTGCATGATTTATGATTGTGGGCCACAACAACTATCAAACTGCGTACTCTGCTTCTAGCTGCATCGCCATCTGACTCCTGTTGATGCCAAAACTCCACCTTCATAGCTAGCCACTAGCAATCCTGCTTTGGAAGGGCTTTGCCCTATAGAACATGAGTACTCGAGGAGTTCGGTGATATAATTGTGGTGGGTGGTGGAAGGTAGATGACAGGTGCATGACTGACTGTGTGATGAATCTTTTGAGGATCTTGTGTGCCTTAAGGACTTCGGCTAGGAGCTTCTTTTGAACTATATGAACCAAAAAACAGGAAAAATAAAAATCCTTTTATTAGTTCTCATTGTTTGTGGCTCAGATTCATGGAATCAAAGAAGTCTCGAGAAAAGAGCCGTAATCTGATTTGTAATTCAACAAGTGGCTTGCAACATGCCATGACTAGTGGACCCATGGCAAGCTCAAATTGAGCCAATAGGATTCCCCAATAATAGCACAAGCCACATCAATCCTCATTGCCGGAGGCCGACAGCCTTCTTGTCCCCTTCGATTTCTACAGAATTGGGACAGAAAGCCGGAAGGGCAGCTTCGACATCAGCTCGGCTGGTATTGACATGGTAAACAGGTAGTTAATCCTCAGAATTTGGCATGCAATCAAAGGAGAAAAATGATCATTTGCAAATGAATCTTTCGTTCTGGATCCAAGTCCCATCAGTTTGTCACCATGCAGCGACCTACGGTTGACTCAATTGGCTCTTCCTACGGTCACCTGCAGGTCCCCTTTTACATGGCTGCTCAGATCTCCGGCGCCATGATCGCTTCCTTCGTCCTCCGCGAGCTGCTGCACCCGATCACCGATCTCGGGACCACGGCGCCGTCGGATACGGCGGTGAAGGCACTGGTCATGGAAATCGTGGTGACCTTCTGCATGATGTTCGTCACGTCAGCGGTGGCGACGGACACCAAAGCTGTGAGCCTCTTATCCTGCTTTCACTTGAGCTCTAATACTTCATGCTTGCTCTTCTTCTGATCACCTGGAGGAACACGTCTTCGTTTGATGCAGGTAGGAGAGTTGGCAGGGTTAGCTGTGGGTTCATCGGTGTGCATAACCTCCATTCTAGCTGGGTAAACTAAGAACATTTTATTCTGATCAATTTCAACTAGTTTAGACATGGTCAAGAAACCTAGCTACGCACATGACGAGACCTAAATCCATGCTCATCGAGTATCTTGGAAGATGAAACGCAGTCTCGTTCATGCACAACAATAACAATAACCTACCTGCTCACACAGTGTGTCATTTCAATTCTGAAAGAACAGCTGCCACATACGGGCATTCAGCACACCACACCACTAATTTAGATCGATGGAATCGATTAAGAACATCACTTTTAGAACATACAACATAGGATGTGAATAATGGCAAGCAAAATGGCTAGGTTTACAGCTGTTGAGATGAATCGAGTTGTGCAGGCCGATATCTGGAGGATCGATGAACCCGGCGAGGACACTCGGACCGGCCGTCGCGAGCAGCAATTACGACTCGCTTTGGGTGTATTTTCTGGGCCCGGTGTTGGGCACCTTGTCAGGAGCATGCTCCTACAGTTTCATAAGGATGACCGAGACGCAACCACAAGCCACTGCTGCACAGAAGCTATCCTCCTTCAAGCTCCGCCGCTTGCAGAGCCTGGAAATGGCGAGTCCTACCAACAACGCTTTCGATAACATTTAGTGAAGGGGCCTTGACCTTGGAGGAGGAGGAGGAGGAGGAGGTTTCTGGGCATCGCCAACTGTTGCCTCCAATAATCTATCAGCATATATTAGCTGAAGTCTCTACTCGTGAGCTATGTGAAATATTGGATATGGTAATGCGGTTTTTGAAGCCTTAAATTCTAAGGCAGCATTAACGTGGAGCTATATATTTTCACTAGCATCATGTGATCTGTAGACATGAATCTCCAGGGGTTGAGTGTTTTGTACATGAAGCTAAAGGCTTTTGCCAGCTCATTTAGTCCCTAACAAGAAGAAATAAAGTCCTTATCAGAAATAACATTACTAAATGCTTTTCTTGTGACATGACAATTTGTCTATAATCATGATAAGGATAATTTTAACACTATCAGCTCCTCCCACCACGTTTACCAATGAAGTAACACCTAAGCACTAACATGGGAGTCACCTACTCCCCGTAATTGCCAATAGGAGGTCACGACATCTATCCCAACCTCCCAAAATGAGATCACAATATCCTTTCTTCGTTTTCACCACAATCGAGAGGGAGATCACGTCTCTTATTAATGACTGTCAGTATGGCCCAACTTCATGAGGACGATTGGCAGAGGGACCATGCCTTGCTTGACCCAAAAGAGCATGAGGGTTAGATCTGATGAGCTACGTTGATAATTCGCTCTATGTGATGCCCCTGGGGAGCATACACTGACAAGCCACTCTTGTTAAATGCTTCTGTCACATAGTAGAAGGGGGGGACCTTGACGAGCACTCGTCCACATCACCAAGTGCTTAGGTATAAAAGTCGTGCCCAAGGCTAAGTAGGGGCAAAATTCTTTACTCTTTCACTTACATTATTAACCTTTCTCTCCATCTCTTTAACTTAAGCATCAGAGGGGTCGAGTTGGAATGCCCCCGATGTAGACCTGTTGTGTAAGATTCTTAGTATCATCCGAAGACACAATTAGGAGGCAACTCAATAGCAAAGATGACTTAGCTCTCCAACCTGACTCCACCATACGAGGGTTGGATCACCCCTGACAAACCATCACCCCTAGCGAGCTCCTCTCATAAGATTATCATGCTAACCCTCCATGTCAGCAAGGAAGAGTCATTGCGAAGGACTTACACTTTCGATAGTGAACCAATCATATCGACTCACCAATCGATAATTTTTTATTAATAAATCACAAATAATAAGAATCGATAAAATAAACTAATTATAAATTATTCTTATAATTAATTAATATGTACATTTTCAAGAGTTATATTTGAATTTTTATATTTATAAAGTAAAATTTTAAATTTTTAAAAGATAATTTTATATGATTAAAAATTAATTGAGAGAAAATTTATTAGAACAAAGGATCAAATATTTTACTTTAAAAATTATAAAAATCTCAATATAATTTTTAAAAATATAAGAATTAAAATATAAAAATAACTAATTATAAGGGTAATATGTGATTAATCCCAATAAGATATGTGAACCTTCGAAATAGAATCAAAAAGTAAAAAAACAAAACAGCAAACCAACTTTCATAATCTTTTATAAGATTTCACATGGTCGGCCCTAAGAGCTTCTTTTGGTCTCCTTCTTTTTGTCTTTGTCTAATTGGATGATTAAAAAGAGGAAAAGAAATGATAACAAAGGAGGAAGATTTAGATGGGAGAAAGGAAAAAGGAGGGGATTGGTGGACAAAGGGCAGAGAGAGGTGGAAGAAGTAGACGACACGGTAGCGTGATGGGTAGGGATACTTTTATGTTTAATTGATGTTTTATATTATGAATTACGAATAGTTGTTTTGTTTTTGATGTTCGACGACAGAGTGTTTCAATTTTTTTTATACGGTTCGTCTTTTTTATAGCGTGATTTTATGGATAATTATTTTGGTTGATTGTCTTAGTTCTTAGTTAATTTGTATGATTTTAATCCTTTATATTAATTGCTTCAATATTGATGATGTTAAAAAAAATCTTTTTTTCATTTTAAAAGATCAATTTGAGTCCCAAAACATTCCGATCATAAGAACGATTCTGCGATTCCTTTACATCTCGAGAAATGTCGATTTTTTTTTCCTCTTTCATTTTTTGTTATTTTGACTTCTTAGTTATAGTTTAGGTCGCTCTTGTAATAATTCTGGATGCTGACGGACATAAACGCGACGATTTGGTGCCTTCCCATTCATATTGTGTCTTTCTCGATGAAGAATTCCTTTGTTAGCATGATTTGTTTTCATAATTCGTTTCTTGATTTGGCCTTCTGTTTTTGATCCAAAACATCAGGAATTGGGGAAATAATTTCCCTTGTGAAATTCTGGATTCGTGCGGAAAACAACGCTGCGATTTTGTGCAATTTTCGCGGCATTTGAGGGTTTCCAAATTTTGTCTCAGCCTTCGAATCGCGCGTGATTTACTTGGTTTTTGTTGCCTCTTTCTCGACCAAGAATTCCTTCGATATCAATCATTGATTGGATATGTTCTCAAGTTGCTTGTCAAAAAACATTAGGTTTGCAGGAGCATTCGAGGAGTTTCTGGTAGCGAAGACGCCGGAAGGAGATGGGCGATCATTTGGTGTTGCATACGGATCGGCTAATGACAAGGAAGACAAGGCACGGGAGGGTTCGTCGCCTTCTGCTGGCCTGCCCATGGCTGTTAACCAACCTTTCCTACTACTTCGGCTGTCAGCTCTGCTGATGAGAAAGCAGGGGAGGAAGACAAGGAGGTTGGTGAAGAAAAGCCTCTAATTCAGATGGTTGAATGCCAAATATGGCAAGGCGATGATCACGTAAAAACTAAGAGTTCCCCTTGCACTTGCAGTGGCAGCTTGAAGGTCTGTAAGTTTTTTGACCAACTTAGCCTCATCGTCTTCAATTCTTCGCTGAATTGTGAATTAGTAGTAAAAATGCATATTTCATGCCAGTTATTATATACCTTGTCCACCGATCTTCCACACCAATATTGTGCAAAGGAAATCAGTTGACCTTCATGTTCCTCTAAGCTTTGCTCCTTTGTTAGGATGCCTGATGTGTTAAAAATTTTCACCATGTTCTCTTCTATATGGCTATATGCTTATTTGCAGTAAATGGATATGAAAACCATGTATATTAATCTAGTCGAACAGGAATTAATTTCATGTATATTGTCATATTTCTTATCTGTTAGGTATTTGTCATGATTCATGAACTTAGCTTTTATTGGGTTTTGAAATATGCATGCAAATCAGTTTTAAGTGCTATGTATATATGCAAAGGTATAGTAAATGAGAATATATGTTTCTTTTTGTGGATATTCTTCTTGTGATTTCTATGAGTGACTTGTAGATTATTTGTAGAAAACAGTATTTTTCTAAAAAAAATGCAAAACCATTTGATTTGTTGAATACAGGTTCTTCTGAATGAGCCCATTATGCTCTTCCTTCATATTATACTATTAGCCACACCAATGTTTTTCTATTGTTTTTTGTAGCACAAGGCTTTGATTTGTCTTGCGTCTTATTCTGCTCTGCGGCAGTGTTGTGTAGTTTCTTTAGTTTGAGAGTCTCTAAACATAATACTAAAGAACTAGCAGAATAGAATTGTAGATTTATTATTATCCCAATATGAATGTAGCATTTGTATTAGAGAGCATGGGAAAGGAGGTGCAGAGAGGACCACTAGATTAAGATTCTAGCAATTGAGTGGCCTTAGAGAGACGAGAAGCTGTTGATGGCTTGCTCTCAATTGATTTCTGCCCACTTGAATTTCAGAGAGATTGCATATAGTATATTTTATTTTTATATTGCTTTTCACCAGAAGAGCTTAAACTTTTTTATACTTGAAACATGTCAATAAAGTCTGGATATCCAGGGGTTGATGATGGAATTGAAAAGCCCCATCATTTCTTTTGGATACTTGTTCTTAAACTTTAGTTTTTCTACATCGGATTTGTTCTACTAATATCTTACATCTTTCTGAAAGCAACTGACGCAAACATCAATAGGACTGGCTTGATTAGCTACTGTTGAATCTTGCTCTTTATTATAAGTTTCTTTCTTGGACGTAGTATAATGTCTTCTTAAGCTTTTTGTTGCTTTGTTTATGCCTAAGTTATTCACATTTTGTACTTTGCAATGTGTAGTATGCTCGTAGGGCATGTGTGCAACATTGGTGCAGCAAGAAGTGTGATATAACCTGTGAGATCTGCCATGAGGTGAGTTGCAGTTATGCTTATTCTCTCAATATTCTCCCTCCATAATTGTGGTATTTGTGTCCCTTGTGTGAAGATAAATTTATAGTTTATTTCTTCTTAAACAAGCTTAAAATGTTCATTAAACATAGTTATAACTTGTTTATCTTCTAGTAATCTTCAGATTTTTATTATAATTCGTGCATGCATATGAGAATGATTTATTGTCATATGCTGTGATAAAAATGGCAGCCCTTCTTATGATTTTCATCAATATAAATCTGCATACACTGCACTACCAAGAGGCTGTGGTGATGATATTTTAATTAATGAGAAGTATGTTCTTTTTATTATTGTAGATCTACTATCCTTGACCTGAATTGTCATTAATCTATGATCTCAGAAGACAGCAATGTCAGATGGATGATTAGAGGTTTTCTTATGAATTTTGATGACTCTGAGAGACTAGCATTGGCAGCAGTACAGAGTCACTGAATTGAAGCTGTATATGGCGATTATCCTACAAATGCTAGTGGTGCCGTTTCTTTCTGCTCTGCCGCTCTAATGGTAAGCCCCTGATATGCATTAGACTTACGAATTGATGGTTCTTTTCATAATGAAACCCTTAAAATCTACGATTTCTCACTGAATTTTGTTGTTTTTATGCCTTGAGGTTCTGGCTTTTTCTTGTATCCATCTGTCAGTTATTCTGTAAATGGTAACTCTAGTTATTGCTTAGGTAAAAAAACAGATTTTTCGTCAAACTTTATAGAATACCTTGCTTTCATGTGGCAAAGAAGACACACAAGAAGAATTCTTTTGGAACAATAAAGCCTTTTTTGTCTCCTGATCTCTTGATTTTGGCTTGTTTTATCAAGTGAAGTTACAAACTATTTTTGTGCGTTCTTTTTTCAGTAGTATCTTCTCCTTGGCCATATAGATGCATTTTATTTAAGTTTCAGTTAAAATTTGTTGTAACCATCGTACTGGCATGACAAGGATCTCATAATGCACTGTTATGTTTTAAATAGGGAAAAAAAAGATAATGCTATTTCAACCTATTCTTACATATCTATATTAGTGTTTGAAATTATAAAAGTGTACGAATGACACCTACCTCCATTTTTTTAAAATAAAAAATATCGTAATCCTCAACTGATTTTTAAAGTTAGTGGCATGCTTTTGCTTTTGGAATGGATTACACGTAGAGCACTTCTAAATAGGCCACTACCGCTATCATTAAAATTACATTCTATAGTGGAAAGTGGGATCTGAAGTTGAACTTTAGATTTTGGTCAGATACTACATGTCATGCCACCAGTTTTGTTATCTTGTTTAATCCATTACCTGTTAAAGTTATATTACATTATTATTTGCCTCTACAGTAGCTATCTTCATTCTGTTGGCTTGTGCAGATTTTTTTTTACAACTCCTTTTAACTTGTTAGTTCTTATTAAAAAATCACTTAACTTGAATTGTTTAAGTCATGAGGTACTTTATGTGTTCATAAAGGATTAGTTTAGTCGTAATCTCGTTCAGGTCCCCGAGGACTTATAAAAGAGAAAATTGATTAGTTTCGAATACGAGTGCGAACAAATCTCGACATCTCACAAAGAGGATAGTTTTACAAACAATTTAAGAAAACTTAGTGTGCAAGAGAGAAAAGAGATAATAGAGAAAACAAAAACTTTAGAAGACAAACGAGTCGCAAATATGCAAACGACTACTTACTAGGTGTTGAGTGCATTAGTAAGCTTTCGTAAGCTTAACATCCGAATTTATGAATTCAATTAACATCCAATGCGTCCGTCATCTTGTGAGTAGTTATTTGTGGACTTGAAACTATTCATTTGTCTTTTAAAGTCCCTTTTTTTTTTTTTTTTACACACTAAGTATTTGTTGAATTGCTTGTAAAGCTATTCTCTCTGAGAGATGTCAAGATTTGTTCATTGCTCATTTTCAGAACTAATTAATTTATTTTTTTATATTTCTTTTGAAACCTAATTGAGATCGCAACTAGGTTGATCTTTTGCGTATAGATAATGCAAGGGTATCTCACGACTTAGGTAATTTCAACTAAGTCCGAGATATTGGAGATATTTATTGATTCTTTTACAGGTCCTTATATACTTGCGGACGGATAACGTAAGGGTGCCAATGCAATTGTTAGATCGATTGGCTTGCATTGAAATTATCGATGTTTCATGTTTATTTAGGAATGTTACATTTTCTTTATTTTCCTCTCCTAAAATTTTTCAGGTAATAATTCATTTGTTCTCGAGGGATTCATTTACCACTACTCATGCTAATGGGGATTATGATAATGCTTCCACATACTTTTGTGAAAATTCAAACCCATACTTTTTCTTTAAGCTCTATCTTGTTCTAGACACAATAACCTTTAGCTGATTTATTTTGCAAAATTTTCTTTCTCAGGCTCCTGGATTTCTGTTTGTTATGTAACATCATGGGTTGGGCCATAAGTGTTCTGCGACGCCTAGAGCGAACGCAGGTCAGCAACCCCTTTAAAATTATAAGTTTCAGGCACATATTTATAAACATATGGGATTTAATTTTCTGCTGTATTAAATGTTACGAGACTGCAGTGGAGAAATTAAGTAAACCATACTGGTGGAAATAGAGAGACCTAATTCCTCGTAGGTAGTTTTGATTGAAAGGGCGGACAATTCTTTGGTTGATTCCTAATATTAAAAAAATGGTGTCATATGTATTTGGATTTAGAATTTATCTTTCAGTACCATGCAAGAAAACGAACATGAATGTTCTTAAACATCGGTGAGGATAAATCCATCAATACCTGAAAAAATACTTCAAATTCTCTAGAAAAGCCTCATGTTTTCCTTCATTTTTTTCCGTCCATCAAATCTTTTTGTTCTTTTTTCCTTCATTTTTCAATCCATCCTCCAATTTGGATCGGTTTAACCTAATATAAGATTTGAATCAGTTCAAACTAAGTAATGCTATTACAATAATAACAAGTTCTAACTAAATAATAATTAATAAAAATAGTATTATAAATTTATTTATATTAATATAAAATAATTATACAAACTATATCTTAAAAATAAAATATAAATCTCTGAACAAATAATAAAATGAGATAAAATTTATACTACTGATAGTTGCATAAAATGTAATATAATAATATTTTTTATATTAAATAAAAATAGTAAATCGTTAAATGCACTAATAGATATTAAATATTATTATCTTCTCTTATATATTATCTTCAAGCGATTGAAAAAAAAAAGCATTATTCTTTTTTCTAAAAATTAAATTAACTCCAAATTAAATGAAATTATTTTAAATCGTCATTTGACTATTCGAATATTTAGATCATGTAAAAACTTCTACAATTTGAAAATATGATTGGTAGGGTATACAAAATCTCATTTCACCAATTGAAACTCTTTGGAATATACCTCTTTAGATAAATAATTAGACAAATCCATCCGGCAATATTTCCTCTTTAGATAAATCTCATTATTTGCTCTTTCTAAGCAAGTCTTGCTCTTGCTTGCTTTAAGGCCGGAGAGACCTACGGACGGCGCTCGTACCCTCTCAACGTCTTCGCGTCCAAGTCAAATCGTGTTGTTTGCGCGAGAGCGAACTTGAGAGACACGCTATATAATAGTTCGCCTCGATCCGTTTCTTCAACCCGACCTGTTTGGCATCGTCGTCGTCGGAGGTGAAGAATCGCCGCAGATGCTATGTAATTTTGTGCCAGTGTGATGGGCCGCACTTTGCTGCCCAAACATGTAGCCGCCGTGATCAAGCACCAAAAGGACCCACTTCGGGCTCTCGAGATGTTCAATTCGGCGGCGAGTGACGATGGCTTCAAGCACACCCTCTTCACCTACAAGTGCATGGCGGACAAGCTCGGATCCCATGGAGAGTTCAAGGCCATGGAGGATGTAATCTCAGAGATGAGAATGAACCTCGACAACTCCTCGCTCGAAGGGGTATATGTGGGCGCCATGAGGAGCTACGGGCGACGAGGGAAGGTCCAGGCCGCGGTGGATACGTTCGAGAGGATGGATTTCTATGGATGTGAGCCGACTGTTATATCTTACAATGCTATCATGAACGTTTTGGTCGAGTTCGGGCACTACGATCAAGCGCATAAAGTGTACCTCAGAATGCTCCACAAAGGAATTGTTCCCGACATTTACACCTTCACGATCAGGATCAAGTCGTTCTGTCGAACTCGACGACCGCACGCAGCCCTGAGGCTTCTGAGGAATCTGCCGCAGAGAGGGTGCGACGCCAATGCGGTTTCGTATTGCACCATCATCGGTGGTCTCTACGAGGAGGACTGTCGATGTGAGGCCTACAATCTGTTTGAAGAAATGCTAAGTAGAAAACTATGCCCTGATATAGTTACATTTAACAAGCTTATAGATGTCCTCTGTCATAAAGGGAATGTTCTAGAAAGCTACAAGCTTGTTGCCAAGGTTATGAAGAGGGGCATTTCTCTAAACCTGTTCACTTACAATATACTAATCCAAGGTCTGTGTAAGGATAGTAAGTTGTCTGAGGCTGTTTCGTTGTTAGAGGAAATGGGTGAGGGTCTGACTCCGGATGTGATCACCTATAACACACTTATCTCTGGTTTATGCAAAAGTTCCAATGTTGTCGAAGCTGAACAATATCTGCATAAGATGGCAAATCGAGGTTGCCTGCCGGATGATTTTACATATAATACAATCATTGATGGATATTGCAAAATGGGTCGCATGCAAGATGCTTGTAAACTTCTAAAAGATGCACTTTTCAAGGGGTTTGTGCCAGACCGCGTGACTTATTGCTCTCTAATCAATGGGCTCTGCGAGGAAGGTGACATCAACAGGGCATTCGAGGTGTTTGATGAAGCTCAGGGTAAGCGGCTAAAACCTGACATTATTATCTACAATTCACTAATAAAGGGGCTGTCTCGGCAAGGCCTTATACTGCAGGCTTTGGAAGTCATGGCTGAGATGTTCGAAAATGGTTGTAGCCCTGATATTTGGACATATAACATCATCATAAACGGATTATGCAAGATGGGAAATGTTTCTGATGCAACTGTTGTTCTGAATGATGCTATAGCCAAACGATACCTTCCTGATGTTTTTACCTTCAATACATTGATCGATGGCTATTGCAAGCGACTGAAGGTGGATAAAGCTTTGGAAATAGTTGACAGGATGTGGACTCATGGTATTATGCCAGATGCTATCACGTACAATTCCATACTGAATGGCCTCTGCAAAGCTGGAAAAACATCTGATGTCATTGAAACTTTTACAGAGATGGTTAAGAAAGGATGTCATCCAAACATTATCACGTACAACATACTCATAGAAAATCTGTGCAATGCCAATAGAGTAAAAGAAGCTTCTGATTTGCTTATGAAGATGACAAATGAAGGATTGGCTCCAGATACCATTAGTTTTAACACATTGATACATGGATTCTGCAGGAACAGTGATCTTGATGGAGCCTATGATCTGTTCAGAAAATTGAAACAAGATAAGTTCTTTCCAACAATTGATACATATAACATTATGATCTGTGCATTTTCTGAGAAGCTGAACATTCATATGGCTGAGCAGATTTATAATGAGATGATCGACAAAGGCTGCTTGCCTGACACATACACTTACAGTGTCCTAGTCAATGGATTTTGTAGGACTGGAAATACTGACCGTGCTTATGAATTTCTGATAGTCATGATCAACAAAGGTTTCATTCCAACAATGGGAACATTTGGACGGGTGATAAACTGCCTTTCTGTAACCCACAGAGTTCATGAAGCTGTTGGCCTCATTCACATAATGGTGAGGAGTGGTGTTGTCCCAGAAGTAGTGCATACCATACTCAGTGTTGATAAAAGGGAAATAGCAGCACCTAAGATTCTTGTGGAGGAGTTGATGAAAAAAGGTCATATAACTTATTATGCTTATGAACTGCTTTATGATGCAATAAGAGATAAAAAGTTACTGAGAAAGCAACGCCAAATGAAATTTCGTGAGGATATTGTACTTAATCAAGCTCTTAATTAGGACATCTCAAAGAGCTAATTTAAGTGGGAGCTTGCTGTCTTGAAGATGAAAATATCCAATATTCTAAGGCCTGTCAAAAAAGACACCAATCAGTTCACAACCATACTTCAACTATGGCAATACCATCAAAAGAATCGAGAAGCCAGTGCAAATTATATAATACTAATGCTACTCGGTTAGCAGCTGATCAATCTGGTATTCTCAAAATGTTATTTTCTCCAAAGAATATGTAGTTCTCTTTCCTTATAACTGGCTTCTAGCTCTGGTTCTTCCGATAGTAGTGCCTGCTTATTCTTTCTTTTGTTTGTTCGTGGTATGACTTTTGTTATTATTATGCACAATTGCCAAGTAACTGTTTGAGGACAGTGAAATGTCATTATAGCTTCAACTTGACTAGAGATATAACGACAATGAAACCCAATTTTCTGAATCCAGGGACTGCTAAAAAATATGGTTGATATCAAGAAATATTTATCCATCTGATTGATGACCTTAGATATCTTCTATCACTTGCCATGATACTGTACAGACAACAAGTTGTCTCCCTCTTTTTGGAAGAAAAGGATGATATTTTATGTTAAGAGGGTGAGTTTGGCACTAGATTTAGGTTGTTCCATTGTTGCATTGGCCAGAACCATGTGCACATAATCACCCTGCTTTAGTTTTTCCAGGTTGGAGTTCTAAACTCTACATGTTTCCCTGCCTGCTTAAATTTCACATTGACAATTGGGCTTGCCAAATATTCTGGAATTGATGAGTACCAATACATGTCCAAGCTTAGTGTTTGATATTGTACATTTTTATATTTGCCATCATTTTTTTTCCCTTGTCAATCATTCCACTTAAATGAGCTTTTTTCTATACAGTTGATGCTTCAGAGATTTATCATCTGGATCCCACACTAATCCTGGTGGATGTTAGTCTTAACCCCTAATAGTCATATATGGATTTGTCGCTTCATCCTCTGCCAAGCTTGGAACAATTAACCCAGGCAGAAATTGTGCCAACAATCTTTAAGTAGACTTTTCTGTGCAAATTTGATCTCCACCCTGCCTTCTGGTCTCCAAGCCTCTTCCTGATGTGTTAGCTTATGATTGTTTTCTGCAGTTATAATCTTAGTTTTATAACATACAATAACTTTTAGTTGATTTGACTATATTCAGATTGTTGAATAAAAATATATTGTTGGTTTTTTACTTAAGCTAATTTCTTCATTATCTGTAGATTATTTGTGGACAATTGAGAGGGAGCACCAAAACTTTTTGATCCAAATATCTCAGGCTCATGGATTGTTCTACTGTGATTCTCAGGTTTTATTTCTGTTTGTCTTAGCGGGAAACCTCTGGCTGTTTGTAATTCATGCTCATGGATCATCATTATGTTTGGTTTATTCTTGCATATCATTAATTCTTCTGCCATAAGAACCTAAAACTGGATATTGTTTTCCTTTTTTGGTTGATTGATCATGTCAGTAAATCGAAGTGCTTGCTTCTCGAAACACTTAAACTGACAGCAGTGATGGTGATGGTATGACAGCAATTCCAGAATAATAATGGAAGAAATTGTGGTTATAAATGCTTGGCAGCTAAGTTTTTCTATAATTCAACGTGTTCTATTCATATGATATGTGAAGTTTTCAATGGCTCACTGATTTGGCTGTGATTATGCTGCAGATCATACGCAATAGGTACTGCAGTATGGGGATTGTTAAGGGTCTTTGAGAGAGATGATTCTTCAACTAGAGATCAATACGAGTGCTTAATATGCTACACAAAGATTCCCATCCAAGTATGTTTTTCTTACATACCGAACTATTGCAACATAACTGAACAGGGAGGTATATCATCGATGATATGATTACAGGATGTACTGTGATCCATTTCAAGTCAGTTTCATAAAGTTCGACTTCCTTCTTTGGATGCTGGTCATGATGGTTGGACTGATCAGGAAGCCGACCAAAAGTAGAACTAAATTCTACTGGTTTTGGTACTCTTCTTTGGATGCTGGCCACAATGGTTCGACTGATCGGGGAGCTGACCAAAAGTAGAACTAAATTCGACTTGCTTCGGTACTAAACTCTCTCTTTTGTCACATGTATTAGATACAGATTTCTGATGTAGTTTGTCTCTGTTTTTTACAATGTGTTAAGTTATCCGATCAGAAAAGTACAAACAATTCACCAGTCAATTATTTATATTCCTTTGATGAAGTTGTTCATCTGCAAATTCTTCTCCTGAATGTTTGTATTGCCAACATAAGTTACTTTAGCTTATGTTGGCAAATTCTTCTCATGAAGGCATTACTTTAGCTTCCAGCTGAAACAAAGCTACTTGCAGAATATCAAATGACTACTTGCAGAATTGTGCAGTGATAGATCCTTCAACTTGGTCTAGTATCAAATGACTACTTCCTAAAATTACGTCTGATTTTAATATCGACAAAGATAGTGCCTAATTGAGAGTGTCTATCTTATCTAGCAAGTTGAATATTTTATTCGAAAGAGAATCATCTCTAGGCCTTTAACTACACTATGAAGGATGATGTCGAGGATTCAACTATATTATAGATATTTTATTAATATTATAATAAGTCATAATGTAATTCAATGAGGCTGCAAAAAATTAGGACACGACGATGAACCGTTGATCATTGAGGATATGTAAGGATACTATGATGGTTTCATCAATGGTGATGGTCACTGGTAGCTACGTTGATCATTGAGCCTCAATTTAACTGACAATCATAGTGATGGTGGACAACTGGCCCACATAATGCTAGTAGGAAGGGCCGGAGAAGGACCCTCCTCCTCCTCCCCTTAGCCTAGCCCCATGACCTCACCGCCCCCTCCTTCATTGCATCCTCCTCCCTCTTCTACGGTGCACCCGAGTCCCGTCTTCCCAGGCCCTCCTTCACCTCCCTCTCCAACGTCTCCAACTTTGGCATCCTCTTCAGTGGGAAGACCCCCTTCTAGGACTTGGCGGAGCACGGCGCTGACATCCCTTGATGGGTTCGCTTCGTGCAGGAGGAGGAGCGAAACGACTCCGACGAGGACCTAGGGTCATCCGGGAATGAGGCATTCGAGGAGAAGTTGACAACGTTGCTAAACATTGTAGTAGCATGCATAGTGGTTGATGTGGAGAAGCAATTACGGAGGTGCTATAGATGATCAAGGAGGCGTGGGCGAAGGTGATGGTCTTGTCCAACAATAGCGACTACTTGCCGGAGAGGTGGTCAAACATGGTGCAGAGCTTGCTAAGGGAGCATGGATCGAAGGGCGATGGCCGCTCGGAATCTACGTTAATGCTGACATAAATGCAAAAGGGGAGGGGTCGGGTTTGGGATCCGCTCGACAAGTCAACAACGAGGCAGTAACCATCTTCGTTGTAAACGCCGTGGCAGTCACACCATCTGCATTGACGCCGACACAATTGTCGAGCGACAACTACGTTGACGACGACATAAATACAGAGCAACGCGGGACGAGCAACGATAATGTCGATAGTGTGCTTCTCGTGTAGGCGAGTTACATCGCAGTGAAAGTAAATCTTATCATCACCGAAAGCAACCAAGCAACTGTGTCGGTGTCGATGCCAACGATGTAACCATCCACCATCGAACAATAAAATTATCTTTTTATATTTTATATTTTTATTGATGAAACTAACGCTATAAAAATAAATGAACCTAGATATTTTATTTTTGTAACTATAAGAATATCAATATAATTTTTTAAAATATAAAATTTGAGACGTTAAAAATAATTAACTACATGTAAAAACCAATAGTCTGGGACATCTTTAATAGGCTAAAGAGCTCACGCCACATTGCAAGAGAATATACCATCAACGAAATCATGTCACAACGTCCTGATAAAGTAATAAACAGCATGTATATCAGAATTAACTTTTATCGCTGAGAAACAATACCCTCGTAGGACACCCGAGTATCCGTATGAATCAATTTGGAAGGAGCTTAAGCTCTCAAAAATGTTCTAAACGGAAGCCTATCCACACACTCGGTTCTACTCAATCCAAATGTTCTACGGAAGCCTATGCAGATAAAAATATTGGACTCGATCCACCGCTGCCTTCCTCATACAACAGAAACAGTTGATAGTTGCATCAGGAAGTTGCAGCCACAATCACCCTGAAAAATCGAAGTAGTTACTTAGCAAACAATATAACTGACAAAGAATACATGTAGGAAAAGATAGTTGAGCACAACAAATAATCAAAGACTAATGGGGATTCAATGTCCCAGAAATTTTGTGCTACAACAATCAGTCCACCATAGGAATACAAGATCAGCCTCTAAATATTAGCAGTTATATTGCCAAGCCCTCATCATATACTCATGTCAAAATTTTCAACTGGGTAATAAAAAGCTCATAGCATTTATGATCCTCTCAACCTTGTCTAGCTCTTTGAGGCTTGCTTTTCTTTAGCCTTCTGGATCTTCAAAACTTTCTTAACAATCTTCTGCTCTTCAACCAGAAAAGCTCGAATAATTCTACAAAACCAGCAAAAGTAAACTAAGATACAGGCAACATCAAACCGGGTGACAAATAAAACCAGGAAAAAAGAAAAGTTGAAAGAATCTGCTGTTAACCTTTCTCTAACAGCACTTCCAGATAAAACTCCACCATAAGCACGATTCACAGTCCGCCGGTTTCTGGACAACCTGGATCTCTTGTACTGAGCAGGTCTTAGATGAGGTATCTGAAAATACAAAACAAAAATCAAATCAAAAAAGAAAAATTATAACATTTTTTGTCAAATTAACACCAGTCTAACAGATTGAAATTGCGAACCATTTTACAGCAAATTCACAACATTATGTGCATTATCACCAATATAAAGCATAGTTCATCAGGATAGCATAAGCAGTCGATATAATTTAAAAAGGGAATAGCTATCACACAAGTATCAGCAATCAACCTATGTCATCTGAAGACCGTATGCAGGCTTAGGTCACTGTTGGATTACTGATAAGTGACCAACTTTATGATGTTCATCGTTGATGAGCAACTTCTCAACCTCCAAACAGTTAATTATTAGAAGCATAAAACGAGACACCATAAAGGACGAAAGCCACATCACCTATCCCTTAACGTCTTCCTAATCCCTAGTATACCTTCACCCTTTATCTTTCTTATTTATACATTGTGCACACAGCACATTAAGGTCCCATACACGTTGTAGTCATTTGCCACCAAGAGCAGGACACAAATGCATACAAATACATAGGGAGATCCAGACCACGATCCTTAAAGGAGACTTGGATGCTTTAGCTGCCAAGCTGAGCATCAACCCTTCGTCCTGTATCAGCCTAAAGCAAGCACACCACCAATATTTATTAGACATTTCTAAGGTAAGTATGATTTTAATTAATCTCCTCAATCAGACACTCAGATCATGCAAAAATTTGAATATCCCATCTTTATGACATGTTAGCAAGGTTGTTACTATTAAGTTAAACAGCAGGTAGACAAAACCAAATGAAGGCTTCGACAAAAGCACATCATCCAAATAAAGGAATGCATAGGTTAGCAAGAATCACTAAAATACAATGACTCACCATCTCTGATTCTACAAAACAGTGATTTAAAAAGTGCTAGGCGCCAAGGTTTCAAAATGCCCGAGACGCTCTGAAATATTAAAATATATAAATATATATAATATAATTAAAAAAAATATAATTATTTAAATAAAAAATGATATTAAATTAAAAATATACTGTTAACAATATATTACATATATTATTACTTAAGTTAGAGGGAGAGAAAAAATATTCTCTGAAATATTAAAAAATAAAAAATATATAATATAATTATTTTAAATAAAAATATGATATTAAATAAAAAAATATATATATACTGTTAACAGTATATTACATAAAGTTAGATGGGGAAGAAAAAAATATTAATAGTAACAGAGGGAGATAACGCGGCAACAAAGGATTAGTTTAAGATTGTTGCAACAACGCTATGAAATGACAACAAGAGAAGCTATGGACAGTAGTAGTGACAGAGGCAAAAGCCGAGGGCAATGACGAAAGTTGCGGACAACAGCGGTGAAGGCTACAGACAGCAACAACGACCGAAGCTCTAGAGGGACTCTGTCGGTGGTAAAGGAACCTGCAGTCCTCTCCCTCAACAGTGGAAAGAAGCGATAGCAGAAGGAAGCTACGGGGCCATCGGACTCGTCCGTTGACAACAGAGGAAGGCTAAGTGCACTGTTTCTGAGGTGAAGGCAGCAGCAAAGAGCGTCGGTGACGAAGGCAGAAGCAATGCTAGGGTTCCTCAGGGTCGCGGGGGCGTGAAGCGTGGCTTTTGAGGTAAGAAACTACGAATCGAACCAGCCTTAAACTGGTTCGGTTCGCGTAATTGAATCAGGCGCTCGCCGAAAGCTCCTCATTGAAGCACGCCGCCTGGTGCACACATGAAGTGCTCAGGCCTTGCCTCGCTTCGCCCGAACGCCTATTTACATCACTGCTATAAAATTTGTTGTCTACAAATTCACTTTAGCTGTATTATGTGTGATTCGTTTCTGAAAAGATAGACAACTCATCAACACAACATCCATTGTTTTAATTATACACTCAAAATGACTGAACTCATCAACATAAAATATTTTCCTTGAGCAAGATGATTATGCACTGACATAAGGCTCAAGTATAATCATGTAAAAGTAGATCAGTGCAGAAGAGAACAAATGACATAAACCATATACTGAAGACACCCAGCAAGAGCTTATGGATCAGATGAATGAATGGGTTCCAAAAAAAAAATCACATTAGATCTGCATCCATCTTACACCATTTTAAACAATCGTAAATCTATCAACAAGCAAAATGAAGCGGCAACCATATAAGAAACGTCTGATGCTATTACAACAAACAAGTGCGGTAACAGTCAAACAGCCAACTTCCAAGTGATAAATCTTAATGAAATTTTAGAAAAGGGAAAGCATACTCCTTGGATTCTCTTGCCAGTGACAGGGCATTTCGGCCCACTCGCCCTTTTGTTCGTGTACTGATACACAAGCCTCCCACCTGCGGTTTCAAGATTAACACCATTAACAAAAGTAATGCAGTAAAATACGTCGAAGCACAAAACGCACACGCCAATCAGATTGCAAAAGATAAAGCAATAAAAAATCACATCGATCGACAACAGATCCGGCGTCCACTGGAACAGACGAAAGGAATGGCGAGATGTGATATTTACCTGGGGTCTTGACAACCCTCGTCTGATTCGATTTGGTGGCATAGCTGTGCCTCTTACGATACGTTAATCTTTGCACCATTTCGCCCCTCTCTCCCTCTCCGCCTCTTCCGTCTACGAGACCAACGACAGGAGTAAACCCGATCGATGGATCTGGCCTTTTAAGGAGCCGCCCGAGAAGAACGCCAAAATAAGACGACCTAGATCGAACGGATCATATTAAATCTGATCTGACGGCCTCCGTTACTTCTATAGAAGAAAGAAGTTCGGGTCTAAACCCGGTTCGCTTCGGGTTTGCTCCAGCCCGAACCGGTCCGAGTTAATTAACACCACTCAATGTTGTTACGGTAATCGAGGTCTTAACAATGTTGTTACGTGAATTTTGGTGCGTTGATGACTATATTTTTAATAATATAGTCATGCAAATCTCATTTATTTATGATAAATTATATGAATCTTTTTTGTCATAATTTGACATCTCACATTACCTCTATCTGCAGTTCTCCCTTCCCTCCCCCTTAAAATTGACCTCGTTTACATGCTGCTCACAAACTGAACATAGACAGAGCAATCATTCATCTCTATATTATGATGACAAAACTTACATCAACTTCTTCTTCTTTGACACAGGTATCTGAGACTGTTCGAGACTCTGCTGAGGAAAGACAATTATACATGCACTGATTGTAGGAAAAATGTCTACTACCAGCATGGGAAGAGCAAAAAAGAAGACTCTCTCTGAACTTTTCTCTCTGTGAATGTTATACTGCTCAATTTTGCATGACACCACACGAGCTGATCAGTTGAAATTGTTGACATTCTGAGTACTCTTGCTACCAGCTTGAGGTCTACTTGAGAGAAGAAGATATCCTGATTAGATCTGTCTTCTTTAGGCTTTTTGAACTTCTTGACAAGGCAATTACCGGTTCGTAAAATGTCTTTTAGTTTCTTTTCTTTCTGCAAAACAAGAAAATACAACAATGTCGATGATTAGATTAGATGAAAATTCATCTGAATATTTAGTATCTGTCTCCTGATTCCTCTTCCTGTCACTGAAACAGAAAACCCAAGTGTGTCACACACAGTTCAGAGAAATAGAGCATCAACATGGATGTCTCACTTTAGCAAGAAAAAATAGACGAACTCTTCGAGAAGGTTAATCGCCTTTTCTTGCCCTATTTGGATAAGTATAAAGAGTTTTCAAACATGATCACTCCTATTAGAAAGGAACGAGAGTTTCATTACACCTTCATCACAAACCAATAGTTCATGTCATATTAGCTAATTACAAGTTTAGCAGAATTCTATTGGAATCTTATGTCACAATTACAAAAGCCATCAATTAGTTGACGAAATAGTTTTCTGCATTTAACGTTCTTTTCTTTTGTATTTACCCATTCAAATTTAAATTTAGCATATGTGCATATATAAATAAGTCATTGTAGTTAATATTCATTCTTTGATTGTTAGCATAATGATGTTGAGACTCTAATTGACAGGATTGAATCCTTTCTGGGCTTCAAGCCTGTATAATAACTTATTTCAATTTTAAATCTCCAATTCTTTTACAGCATCTGATGTTATTCTTAAAATATATTTCTCTTTAAGGGATGAAGCATGTGATGAAAGGGAAGGAGAAGAGGAAAGAAGAAGCCTCAGTTTGCTGAAGGTGAAGTGAACAAACAAAGGCTATGGTAATCAGTTAGAACAATAAAAGGTATTTTCGGTATCCGATTTTTTTTAATATTTTTCTGACTCAAATTAGCTATTGGTGACCAGGAATTATAATGGTTGGCCAGATTCTATGATTTGGATGCTAACAAGAGTAAAATAAATGATCTAAAAATTTGGAGGGACATATGCCATACTAAATTCATAACGACAATTTCCAAACTTTGATATGATATATATGTAAAGCCCTTTTTTTATTTATCTTCTCCTTCTTAAAGTAATAAAGGCTAGTTTTTATATATATATATATATATATATATATATATATATATATATATATACAAAATTAATAGGCATGTAAAAAAACTAAAGTTTAATCAAAATCTCCAAATTAAATGAAGATCACAATCTACCTTGTGCAAATTGGAGTGGATGTCTGTCATGAGCTCAGAATCTGCTGCATCCTGCAGTTCAACATGAGTTCCCATCAAACCCTTCAGAATCCCTGGAGTTTCATCCTTGTCTGCCTTGACGAATTCCCAAAAGTTCCTAATGGACTCCTCCATGATGTCTTCTAGTATTTCACTAGTAACAATATAATTACCATTGCCTTGATCCTCCATCTTCTCCTTGGAGCTATCCTCTGAAACACATTAAACAAACAGTCCTATGTTACAGAACCAGCAGATTTCATTCTTAAACAAGTCATTCCAAGGTTTTAACTTAATCATGAGCAATTTCACTTTGATGAAGATGATTTGCTTCAACTTTTTAAAGAAAAGGGGAAGAACTTCAATTCAATATGCATGCTTTTTCTCTGCCTTCATCAGTGATTCAACATCTATGTAATGGAAAAATTTTGCAGAAATAATAACCAGGGGACTTCTTTTAGGGTGCCAAACCAATGTCTACATCTTGTCTTACCTCTTATGACTGGCACTAGGAGAAGATTCTCAACAGCACATCTATGTTTAACATAATTGGGTAATCTCAGCCCTTGAAAAGCCTCATCCTCTATAAACCTTTGCATCATCACCTGAAACTGTTGGAATTCTACAGCCACTCGGTTGTACTGATGGCTCCGATACGGATCACATTCTGGTAGCTGCCGCTCTTTCTCATATTGCCAGCGCAAAAACTCCCATGAAAGGCATGTTTGCCCAACATAAACCACTTCCAAGTCATGTTGTAGCTCCTTGATGAACTTCTCCGATGGACTGATACCAGATTGACGACTACAGGCCCAGAAACTTTGAGAAAGAATGGATGTGATCTTGGGAAGTAGGGACTTTTGTGATCCCATTGACAGAAGGGGGTCCTTCAGCTGGAGTAAGCCTGGAATTCAGACACTGCACTCAGTCCCTTAATATAAATTGACTTATAATTAGGATAAAAAAATACTATCAGATGCCAAACAGTAGCAATTTTGGTGGTATAGTAGCCATCCATGAACTGAAACAGCAGTAAAAGATACAAGTTTGGACTTACCTATGGCATACATTTTTTGATAGTTTAAGATGTCAAACTTCCTCATCCTCTCTCTATAACACTTGTAGAACTTGTGTAGCTCATCCATGGGGTCCTCATGCAGAAACTTCTCATTCATCTTCCGTAGTTTCAGATCATTGATCGCTCTGGGCGTTTCTGATGCCTCTGGGATGGTCGGCAGACCGATGGCCCTCACTCTTCTCAGTTCCATTTTGAGCTGTTCTATTAGATCTTGATGTTCCCAGAGGGACTCCAACTCATCGCAATCCTCATCGTCCAAATCTTTCATCTCTGTCTTTTCGTCCTCCTTGCTTTTCTTTCGTACATTATCTTTCCTTTCAAACTCTTCTTCCTGTGTCAGTTCATCCAATTCTGCTATGAGCTTACCATCATCCTCTTGTCCGAGAAACCCGTCAAGGGAAACATCATATCCTTTTGAAAGCTCCAACTTTTCGTTTGTGATAGCTTCGACGCCATCTTTACTATCTGCATTATTTTCACCCTCATTCTCATGTCTGCTGATGTCGTCAGAACCTTTTATGAGATTTCTCTGCTTTTTAGTTCCGCGAAGCTCATCCTCGTTATATTCCATAAGTTCCATTTGCAACGCATTTGAAGTCGGCAGTTCTGATTCGTCAAGCCTCCGAACTTGATTCGTCAACCCATTTTGCTCAGGTTGGGGGCTGCCTGATTCATTTTCTAGAGAATTTTCATCTAGGCTGATGTTTGCATGTCTTCTCTGATTACCAGTGAAAGAATATTTACCGATTACAGAACCAGATTCTGAATCATAATCACGAGTGAGTTGTGGCTGTGCTTCTTCCAGTCTTCTGATACCTTCCGAGTGCTTTATTTTGTTTACAGCGCCATCAATGGAAGCTCGTGTGGTTTCTGCTCCATGATCATACTCGGACAACAAGTCATCACTATCTGAATCAACGATGAGGTCCTTCACGGAGTAACCATCACTTGCACTTAGGGATTCGGTGTCGGAATCAAAGCCAGAAAACTCCTCCGACACAAACTTTGCTTGATCGGTTCTTTCAAATTCACTTGGTAAATTAGTTTCAGAACTACTTTTGGTGTTCTCCTCCTCCAACCGCGCAACATTAGAAAATTTCTCTTCTCTGATCCCATCCAGCTTATCAATCGTGTGCACTGTATCGCATGGTAGGTGACAACTTTTAGATGATTCAAAACCAGTACTTAGCTCGCCACTAATATTCTCGTCATCATACAAAGAGAAAAGGCCGAGTTGAACAGAAGACTCTCGGACACTGCAAGTTTTGGCTTCTGGTTCTTCCATGAGACCGGCATAATCTTTCTCAGACAAGAAGTGATATTTGCGAATGCTAGTCTTCGGAGATGCCTCATTTGCAACCGGTCGCAGCAGTTGTTCCTCACCGAGTTTATGATGATCGGAGAACTGATACTGGAACTTAAAACTCAAACTTGGAGATTCTTTCTCCTCTCTAATATATGAGTCGGTGACTTGGGGAAATGGCTCCACTCTCGTCGAATCATGCATCGAGGAAACTTTGAGGTCCACTCCCTGAGCGTTATTGTCTTTCCTAATTCTACAATTAGGAACAGAAAGAAATGATGGTACCACTCGAAAAGTAAATACAAACCGAAGCTTTCGAATCATGTAAGTTGAAACACCAATTATCAAACCTCGGTTACCTGAAGAGATGCATGGCAACGAAACTGAACAACCAAATCAAAGAGTCGGTGACGAAGAACCAGCAGGAGCCAAAAAAGAGAGCCATCCTTGTGTAAAAACCATGACTCGATGGCTTGTTAAGAACAGAACCGAGATGGTTACCGGTAGAAGCAACTCCTCGGACTTCCATGGCTTCACTTCACCAGCACTTCATCTCGATTTGAAGCAATCCATAAAGGCGATTCAAGAAATTCCTAGTCCTTCCCCAGTGAATTAAACAGAAGAAATGAACTCTTCAACTGTGAAATGTGAAGCACAAGCAAAACGTTACACCAGAAGGAGTGAAAGCTGGGATTTGGAAGACATGGTGGCGGAATGGTGTTCAGTTCTACCTGATGTGAGGCGGGAAGGCATCAGGTGCCGTTTAAGGGAGGAGGAGGAGGAGGAGGAGGGTGGAAAAGAACCGGACAACAACTGGCTTCAGGCCCTGGAAAAACAACGCCATGGTTGCAGAAAAGATCTCATGGCTGCTACTGTGCTTTTTCTCGCAACAAAATGGGCACAATTCGTCAAGTCGGATGGTGCGTTGTTTTCCTGCCAAGTGGTTCGAGAAGGGATGAGCTGATTCTTATGGAAAGCTGACTAAGCCAATAGCAGCATCTTACGAGGTGGGAGTCGATAGATGCCACCTCCATCTTCTCTCTACATTCTCTGCACCATCAATCATTTTCCAAACATGAATTTTCTTTTTTCCATCAATAGTTCTGAATTCCACAGAACATTCAATCAGAAATATATCAGCTTTTTTGTTTTTTTTTTTTGTTTTTTGAAACATGAGAAACAAGCACATAACTGAAAATACTTTTGCATTCTTTCCCATCATCTCAAGCACAAAAGACTTTCACCCATAAAATATAACATCAAGGAAGCTTAACACCACCACCAAGCAAGCCCCATGCGACCAATAGCAATCGGAAGTAGTAGTGCTACACAAGTATATAATACTTGCTCTAACAAAGTCAAGCAGCCAACTACCTCTTTAATGAAGTATAATTCCCAATATGCCAACTTTGGAATGTTTGATTAGAAAAGAGAACTGGCGTTTGTCATGTAAATGCTGGATTGTGATCGTTAAAAGACTAGTAAATAATTTATCCTTTTTTCCGTCTTTGATTCACAAAGTAGCTCTCTCTCTCTCTCTCTCTAGCTGACTGAAGGTTGTAAGGAATCCAAGGGATGCATTCTTAGAAGTGCAACACAGTATCCGTGAGTACAATCTAGTACTGTAATAACAGCATCATCGGCATTAGCAGAGAGGGAGACGACACTGCACAGCCCACTCAAGACGAGGAGGAAGAACCATTCATCGCATGGCCATTGCCACCGCCGCTGTCGTCGACGCCGTTCGCGCTGTGACTGGTCTCCTCAACTCGACCGACGACGTCTCCACCATCGACGCCGTTACCAGTCCTGCTGCCTCCGCAGCCGCCACCGGCCCCGCCTTTCCTTGCTTGGCCGAAGAAGGCGTGCTTGTTGTTGTGCATCCAGACCTTGAACACGCCCTTGTCCACGCCTATCTGCCGACAGCATTCCTCCACCTGCCCCTCGTCCCTCTTCTGCATCCGCCACCCCAGCCGTTCCGACAGCTCCTGCATCCGCTCCTTCTGACCCGGGGTGAACCTAGTCCGGAACCTTTTTCTCGGCTGCGCTACGTCCGCCGCCATCGGCGTCGCCGCGGCCACGGCCGCGATGGGGGTGACGATAGGCCTAACCGGGATCGGGCCCGGGCCGCCGTTGAGAGCGAGGAGCATGCGGGGAGCAGAGTAGAAGGGCGGAGGTGAGTTCGAGCTCCGGTGGGTCCGAGTGGGTTCCCGCCTGCCATCCATCTCCGACTCCTCCTCGTCTCCCCCCTCTCTGTTCCTCTCATCCTCCCCTTCCCGGTCATGGAGCCGGTGGCGGTGGTGGAGGGGATCCGGGAGCCGGCGGTGGAAGTTGCGGTGGCAGCCGCAGGCGACGCAGCGGAGGGAGGAGGGGTCAGCAGGGTCAGCTGCGGGCGAGTGCATGAACTCGCCGCAGCCGTCGAGAGCGTGACCGCCGAGGCTGGCCGCGTGGTTTTTAAGGCACTCCCGGTACAGGAACTCCTCGACCGCCGTTGCTGGCTGCCGCTGGTGGTGCTTCCGCAGCGTGCCGTTGGGGAAGGAGAGGGTTTTGCCTTCAGTCTCCGGCTCCGCGACCTTTGTGGTGTGGTCCATGGCAGAGAAGGGAGAAGAGGACTAAGATATTTAGCTTCTTTTTTTATTACGGTTAATATAAAAGAATTAGCTTCCGGAAGGGGCCATGGAGACAATTAACGCAAGAGAGAGAAGAGGCTGAGAGAAACTGAGAGAGAATCATGGTGGTGATGATGGTGATAAGACAGGGCGACTTAGAGAGAAGAGGATAAAAAGACACACTTAGAGAGATAAGGAGGATGAGGAAGAAGATTACAAGTGGCATGCGATGTACGCCCCCCACGTTTTCAATTAGGTAGGCGGTGGTGAGTTAATAATACGTCATGGTTAGGTTGGGTGCAGTGATGGGGAACAACGTGAAAGGGAACTTGTGATACACACCGGCATATGCCTCGTCATCGAGCCTTGTTGGCCGCTCTGCTCTGCTCCAACTGCAGGAAAATTCATATTACTTTTACTGCTTCCACAGGATGTCATAACTCATAACATGAATGTCGATAAACTCTTAATCACTTGATAATTCACCATATGTTAATCATCAACATCACTTGATCCCAAAAATGTTATTATGTATATAAGACAGTTAGTTACACATATAAGCTTTTCCACATCCACTGCTGTTATCATAGTGGCTTCAATGGTGGATCAAACTCGATGCCAATCTGAATAATAATAACGATTACGAGGATTATTACACGCAACCATGACATTGCGTACGTGCCTTTGGGAAGTCGCTTTGGTAAGTGGATGTAATTATTGAAGGTTCCTCTCTATCCACGCCACTCACATTTAGTGCAATTGTATCTTTGAAGTTAAACCACACAACAAAACGGGATCTGAAGACTTCCAAAAACCCCCAAATGTCGCATCGAGTCAATGTACTTAGTCTATTATTCTCAAATCGGCATCAATTGGCAGCGACAAGTGGAATTAATTGGTTTGACAGGTCGATTTTAGCCTTCAGGAAATCATGTAAATGACATTAAATCACAACGTGGAAGAATCCTCCTTTCTCTCTCTCTCTCTCTCTCTCTTCTTGTCATCAGTAATGATGCAACATCTCAATCCACTTAAGAGATGAATCTGAAAAGGCTACACATCATTAACAAAAGTGTAAAAACAAAGAAACAAAAAAGCCAATATTTCGTGTATGATATCATTAAAATTAATAGAGTATGATACGTTTGTTTTCAGCAAAGAATGAGTATAAATATTTCGTGTAGTATTTAAAAAAATAAAAAAAAACTAAGAAATTGGTCCAATCTGATTTTAATAAAAAAGATATATTATAAATGATTAAAAATAAATAAGTTTTTCTAAAAAATCCGCCATTATTTTTTATGTTAATTTAAAGGCAAAAAGCATTTTCTACGATCAGTTAAAACCCTAACCTTATCAGATCTTTCTATCTCGCGTTCTCGTCCGCTCTCACTCTCTCTTTCGAAGAGAACTCCGCGAACGTTTCTCCCACAAATGCTCGTCTTGGCTTGCAGCCGACCACTCCATAGTTTTCGACCTCCGAGATGCTTCGGCCGGCGAGAGCTCTTCATCGATGGTGTCTCCTCTATCTCCTCCCAAAGACCCACCGCGCCTGCTCCTCATCTCGACCTCGCCGCCTCTTCTCGCTCGTAAACCCCGCTCCTTATCTCTTGATGTTAATCATGTCTTTACCGTATTTGGGTTCAAGATCCGCTTCGAACAATCTGGTCTGCCCCCATCTGAATGCTGATTTCTTAGTGCAAACTTTCACCGTT